TTTCCAGTGGTGACATTCTCTTTTCTCTTTTCTGACTTGGTTTCCAGTGTGTTTAAATACTTACCTGGACTGCATGTTGCTGGTATCTGTTAAGTTAACACACAAATGCACATTTAACAAAACACTGCTAATCGATCTGAAAGGACGGAAAGTGTTTCATTGAGAAATACTCGGGAAAACGTTTCACCGACCGTGAATAGCCTAGAGTTCACGGTTTAAAGTTTAACTAATCTCGTGTTTGACGAAACCAAACAATACATTGGTGCACCTGAGTACATGGGTGTTTTACTGACTCTACAACAATGTCTACCCTGTCTATTGTATAGCTTGTTATGCGAGACTTAACTATATATCGAATATCATTTGTCACAGTTCTCCTCTGGATCGAACACGTCAAGTACGCAGTAACAATAGTTTCGAATTATAAGGTACTCACATTACCTTGTTCGCAAAAGGCATATTCAGAATGTAGGTCAATTATGATTCTGGTAAATTGAAAAGATATTTATCGCTTGATGGTATTAGGTTTTCACACTGCTTTAAAAGATACACATTACATGTAAGTTTTGGCCTTTGTTTACATTCAGATGAAGGCCTGTCGTACACTGGTTTCTAGATCGATAAGTTCTTAAACAACAACATTCTTCGGACGTTTTGTATACCAACTGTGACTCGGTTCAGCGCGCTAACTTTGTCATCAAGTCACGTGACCAGTGCCATGAACACGAGTATAGCTATTAATTAGTAATAGCAACTATTGCTGTTTATGGATTTTTGTGTAAAATGTCACCCTAGAACAATGTCTCTCACCACTATATACATTGTACGTACTGGAGCGACTCGCTCGTGTTCAATATGTAAACAGAGGAAATTAAAACTTGTAGAATTAATCCTGCTCATATACAACCTTTCTAGTTAGGTGAGTTACCTTTACGGCTGGTACATTTGATATTGTGACAATTTCTAAATTTAAGAATAGGGACATTTCAATATCTCGATAACATGAATAGTATTTGTATCAGAAACATTATCGATGTATAAACGATAATTGATAGTTATCCGGTTTTTACTTGCCCTTGTGTATCTTGGCTCATGGTTTCATACCTGATGGTTTGTCCCTTTAAATTCGTTTTGTTGAGAAGGTTAACAGAATGTTAATCTGACCCTGAGAGATGTTACAAGTATCATATTGTGTAACTGTTCAGCGACGTAAAACGTAGAGGGTTTTTGTGAGACAACCCCGTTTCTATGTCGCTACCTTCACTATTCTTACCAACAACCAAGTGTTTTGAAAATGAAAGGAATGTTCACTATTTGTAATGCCCCTTTACTTTGGAAAGTAACAAAATTTATACAAAAACTAGAAAAAATACTTAGTAATTTCTGAATTAATTGTATGTATCTAAAATGTAAGTATGTATGTATGTATGTATGTATGTATGTGTGTGTGTGTGTGTGTGTGTGTGTGTGTGCGTGTCTGTGTGTGTATGTGTGTGTATGTGTGTGTGTCTGTGTGTATGTATGTTTGTTTGTGTGTGTGTGTGTGTGTGTGTGTGTGTGTGTATGTATGTATGTATGTATGTATGTATGTATGTATGTATGTATGTATGTATGTATGTATGTATGTATGTATGTGGGTATATGTGTATGTATGTGTGTGTATGTGTGTATGTATGTATGTATGTATGTATGTATGTATGTATTTTGCAGACAATATGTAACAATGTATCTGATTGTATCTCATGATTGACCTCCTGTTACACACTTATGGTGTGTCTGGAGTGATTAATAAAACTTGTAAACTTGTAAGCCATTTACTCCCTCAGGTGTTAGATCTTGTGTTACAAATTGCATTCATAAACTGACAATTATATATATATATATATATATATATATATACACTTTGGGTCCAAACTGTCACTATTCCTCAATGCATTCACAACGTGAGATATATCAGGTTATGAAATCCTTATTAAAATCTGTTTGACTGATCTGTTTCGGTGTGCATTTGTTAACATCTTTATAAAATCAAAACATAGTATCCCCACATTCATGTAACGTTGATCGGCTTTTGAACACAAACATAATCAATGTGTGAAGTACGCTACTTCCGCCTTCGGCCTGGACCCACAATAACTTGTACCCGGACTACATAGAACTCGAGATCTAAATCGATGTCATCAGGGATTTTCAAATTAAATTTAAAATTTAAAATCATATCTATTTTTTGTCACGGAACGCTTCCATAAATAATAATTTGAATTCACATTGAATATCGGTAAAAGTCACGCACATACTAGGTCGCGACCAGCTTACGTATTGTTTTCATCCTTTTTCAAATAGTGGCAAACAGAAATCACAGTCCGCTGTATCAATAACACCCGCTCACAAGACCCTCTAATCTCAATGACATGATATCCGTATTTAGTGAGTACGTGTGCATCTTAGATATATATGCTTCATTTCTGAATTGTTGGTACAAATGAAATAGACAGCACCTATAACAAAATTTTTAATTGGATATAGTTGTGCTAGATAAGGTATTAAACATCACCATACAGCTGTTTCGTCCTTCTAGGACTCGTCAGTGATGCTACATCATACATTTGTTTCGTCCTTTTAGGACTCGTCAGTGATGTTACATCACACAGCTGTTTTGTCTTTCCAGAAATTTTCAGTGATGTTACATCATACAGCTGTTTTGTACTTCAAGGACTCGTCAGTGATGTTACATCATACAGTTGTTTCGCCCTTCAAGGATTCGTCAGTGATGTTACATCACACAACTGTTTTGTCTTTCCAGAAATTTTCAGTGATGTTACATCATACAGCTGTTTTGTACTTCAAGGACTCGTCAGTGATGTTACATCATACAGTTGTTTCGTCCTTTTAGGACTCGTCAGTGATGTTACATCACACAGCTGTTTTGTCTTTCCAGAAATTGTCAGTGATGTTACATCACACAGCTGTTTTGTCTTTCCAGAAATTTTCAGTGATGTTACATCATACAGCTGTTTCGTCCTTCTAGGACTCGTCAGTGATGTTACATCATACAGCTGTTTCGTCCTTCTGGGTCTCGTCAGTGATGTTACATCACACAGCTGTTTTGTCTTTCCAGAAATTTTCAGTGATGTTACATCATACAGCTGTTTTGTACTTCAAGGACTCGTCAGTGATGTTACATCATACAGTTGTTTCGCCCTTTTAGGACTCGTCAGTGATGTTACATCACACAGCTGTTTTGTCTTTCCAGAAATTTTCAGTGATGTTACATCATACAGCTGTTTCGTCCTTCTAGGACTCGTCAGTGATGTTACATCATACAGCTGTTTTGTCCTTCAAGGATTCGTCAGTGATGTTACATCACACGGCTGTTTTGTCTTTCCAGAAATTGTCAGTGATGTTACATCATACAGCTGTTTTGTCCTTCAAGGACTCGTCAGTGATGTTACATCATACAGCTGTTTTGTCCTTCTAGGACTCATCAGTGATGCCAATCACTTATTTTTGAAACCTACAAAAGAAGCGACTGAGGAAAATCCGAAGTGATCGAAACAAATGTCAAATCTAGAACGTAGAGATGCACTAGCTCATTGACCTAATAAATTTAGTATTTTTTTTCTGACAATTTCAGAAGAATGTCGAGGGCATGTATATATAACCGTGCCACTGTTTGAATAACTTCAAACGTTGTTACTTTTCATCGTGAAATAACATTTCATTTTCTTTCCATGAAAAGTATGCAGATGTAACAAACACTGAGTGAATATTCCTAGAAACCTCATATAGTATAAATATCTTTGACCCTTTCTTGTAATTTGGGGACAGGATGCTTGGCAGGAAACCTTTGACATTGATTGACAGGGCTATTGTATTAGCCACTTACAGCGAGTAAAGAATGAGACGGCAATGTGTTTATCGAATAAACTTTATGAATGAAGACAACATCGAGATTTTTTCTGTGAACGTCTACAAATCTTTTTGACACTACAATGCCAATGAATAATCTATACGTAGCACCCAGGAAAGATATTTTATTGAGGAAATGGTGTTTTGGGCAACATAACAATACAATGTTTCAAATTGCTTAAATATACAAAAAGGTGACAATTTCGGAAAAAAACGACAAGTTAACTATTCTCGGTGACCTTTGACCTTATGACATTGAAACTGGAAATCAAAATAATATTCTTATCAATGCCTACAACTGTTCAATGTTTCCTGTACAAGTACTTGAAGCTTTTAGAGATGATTTTTCGTGACCTTTGGCCTTTGGTGATATTACAACTTAGCGAATAAATATTTTGCATCACTTCCAAAAACTTTTAGATGCATATGATTATATAGCCTAAGCAATTGTCACAGTATTAAAAATCTGTAATCTTTGATGCATGTTTCTCATACCCAGCTACAAATTTTAAAGTAATATGATTTTAACCTTGTAATTCTCAAATGGTTTATTGATGTATAAAAAAACTCCTTATTTTGTATAATATTCCCAGCCAGTTGAAATAGTTTCTATCGTGTATGTCCTCAGCAGTACTTTGATATTAACCCCAATCAATCTAATGATTCGCATCGGTATCTTGTAATATGACAGACTCTACTTGAAGGAGATATCTGAATCAGAGAGGTTAAAATCACGTGATACTTTCCTTCCGTCCCTTTCGTCGCCGCGTCCCATTCGTCTCTCTATGACAGGAATTCCTAGCAGTTGATCACGGTATCCCTAGGTCGAGGTAGAATTGCTTCGAATTTTCACTTGCCTGATTAATGCCCGGATGTTAGTTAATACCCGGATGTGCTATTAAGCGGTTGTGTTGTATTAATCTGTTTGTTTGTGAAATACTGAGCTCGGAGCTTAATGGCGTTTCCGTTTCGTGTTCTCGCACATATCTTTTACTGAACCGCTGTATACGTCTTCTGTGAGTGAAGGAAATAAGTTAAAAGGATACCGATGTGTCTATCAGGCAACCATGGGATTTTGTTAAAGCCAACAGATGGAGTCTCAACACGGAGGTCGCTGTAGGATGGAGGGTGGGTTGGATGGGCACAGCGCTGATTCTTTTTTGAACGATTTTGGTTGTTTTTTGATGTGTCTCGATAAAGAAGATAAATCATTGGTCTTGTGACAAGTGATTGTATATATCTGAGAACGAACGAAGCTTTAGCGTGGGGTATATTACCTGTCATTGAGGCAAATATAACGATCGAATGCGACATTCATAAATTGATAAGTTTACAAGCCTCAGTTGTGACGATAACTTCACGACCTTTACATCGCGTGGTGGTAGACCAATCTAACAGACGAAAGCCGAGAGAAACACTTAAGTGTATGTCTATCCTTAACCCTGTACCTACACTTTACATGTTTATTATCATGTCAACATAATAGACATTCAAAGTAATATAACAGTGATTATTGATGTAAAACTTTGTATTTAAAGAGGAGAAGGTACATTTTATCACACTTTTGTCGAACACTAGGTATTTTCCGAGATTTCGTGTGTTCAAACTGTTTGAAAAACTTGTGATATTTAAGAATATTACAATTGATGGACATCTGTGAAACGAGCATGTCCGTCTTGCTGCGGTTCGTTCGCTCCTCGAAGTTTTAAAACGTTTTGTATCCATCGAAAAAAGTACATTTTCATCCACGATATCGCCAAAACCATCATATAACTTCCACAAGGGGAGACAACCGATCCCATAAATAAAAGTAATACTGATATATCTAAGTACATCCGTTATTGAAAGTTAATACTTTTTCTGTATTCCAGGTGTGTGTCCGGCAGGAAAGTGGGGCGACACGTGTCAGGAGACCTGCAACAGTAAATGTTTCAGCGGAAGTCCGTGCACAGATACGTCGAAAGTGTGCGGATGTGATGAGACGTCTGGTCGATGTAAAACATGCGTCTCTGGGTGGTTTGGAGATAGTTGCGATACCACATGTTCTAATTCCTGTTCTTACGGATGTGACAGAACCAATGGAGAGTGTGCTACCTCTGAAGATTGTGAATTATGTTTAAACGGCCTTAACAGTTGCGTATCCGGAAAGTGTACCGAATGCAAACATCAGACGTTTGGAGAGCAGTGTGAGATCAGTTGCTCTTTCTGTCCGAGAGGCTGTACACCGGACTTCGGGCTATGTTACCCTGAATTCTGCCAGAATTGTGCCGGAGGCTTGACGGAGTGCGATGTTGACAATCAAGTTTGTAGAGGAGACTGTACAGCAGGGACTTATGGGGACAATTGTCTTCAGACATGCGCAGAATACAGTGGAATTGACCATTGCATCACCTGTATAGATACGACAGATCCATTGACCTGTAGACAATGCGATCAGGGCTACTTCTCTAACGTCACAACATGTCAGTCATGTAATCCTGGATGTACGAACAACATGTGCTCTGGAATAAATGGCGCGTGCTTGGAAGGATGCGTTCTTGGCAAAACCGGAACGTTTTGTGACCAGTTTAAATGCGAGGTCGAAAATTGTGCAACTTGTCAGACAAACCAGCATGCTAATTGTACAACATGTAATATCGGATATTACCTGACAAGTCCTGGATGTACCCAGTGTCCTGTAAATTGCATTGCGGGTTCTTGTGATGTCACTACTGGCAGGTGTTTAATTGGATGCAGCAGTGGATGGTATGGTGCTAAATGCGATTTTAGATGTGGAAATTGTTCCCAAGTCGTATGTGATCAGGATACAGCGGCGTGTCCTGGATCCTGCTTGTCCGGTTACACTGGAAGCACGTGCGCTTCTAGATGTAGTAATAAGTGTTTACAGTCTTGCGATCAGATAACGGGCTCCTGCTTTGGTTGTCCAAATGGCAGGTATGGAGAAAGATGTGATTTTCAGTGTACCAGTACATGTAACGCCGAATCATGTGAACAGTCAACCGGGAACTGTCTGGCAACCTGCCAAACTGGCTATTACGGATCGCAGTGCAGCCGGCTATGTTCTCCGAACTGTATCAATTCTGTGTGTGATAAGGACGGAGGACGATGCTCTGTAGGATGTAACCCTGGTTACCATGGTGATTCTTGTGTAAATCAGTGTCCAATCACATGTGACCCTCGCACGTGCTCCAGGAACACGGGTATGTGTGACACTGCTTGCATGGCAGGTTTTTATGGGGATTACTGTGACCAAACTTGTGGTAACAACTGTGTGAGTAGAACGTGTCAGAAATCTTCAGGGAGCTGTTCTTTGGGTTGTACATACGGGTTCTGGGGTAACACTTGCGAAACAAACTGTGCTGCAGGATGCGCTGGTCGATGTATACAGACAACAGGTGTATGTTTTGATGGAGATGGATGTAGGGATGGTCTCTATGGTAGTTACTGCAATCGCACATGTAGCAACAGGTGCGCAGACAACCGGTGTTTACAAAGCAATGGAGACTGTGAAGGTAGGTGTGTGCAAGGATACTACGGACCGTTCTGTAATAATGAGTGCAAAACATGTGCGGGGGGTGATTGCGAAAGAAACACGGGGAAATGTGAAGGACAATGTTTAAATGGTTACCATGGCGATAAATGTCTTTTGAGGTGCAGTACCCAGTGTTTGTCGTCTTTCTGTGACAAAACAACTGCTAAGTGCCTCTTGTCGTGTGTATCTGGTTACCATGGAGAGTACTGCGATCAAGCTTGCCGTAACACCTGTGCGAAAGGAACGTGTGTCAAATCCACAGGCGAATGTGACGAAGGCTGCACCCAAGGGTATTACGGAAGGTATTGTAACATGACATGTGCAGACGTCACGGGTCAGCCACAATGTGTCACTTGTGTGCCATCAAACAACGGGTACACGTGTACTCAGTGTTCATCTGGATTCTATGCTGACGGCACCTGTAAGTTATGCTATTCAGGATGTTTTAATGACGCGTGTTACGGTACTAACGGCACGTGTACGTTCGGATGTGATACGGGGCGTACTGGAGAGAAATGTGACGAAGATTGTAGTATAAACTGCCAGGGACTTGTTTGTGAAATAAATGGCATGTGCAAATTCGCATGTGTTAGTAAATATTACGGACCGTATTGCAATCAAACCTGTGGTCATTGTACCTCTGGTGCGTGCGATCGCACGGACGGAACCTGCAGCGTGTCGTGCCTGAATGGATATTACGGAAGTCAGTGTAAGGACGTATGCTCAGCAACATGTAGCTCAAGAATTTGCAACCGGGATACAGGTAAGTGTTTCACCTGTCCGTCAGGTACCTGGGGATTCTACTGTGAGCGTCAGTGTTACCAATGTGATGGTGCGTGTGATCAAGACACAGGGGCCTGCAGCGCTGGTTGTGTCGGCAATCAGCATCACGGTGACTACTGTAATAGTACCTGCAGTAATACCTGTGTCAACAGTCGCTGTGAGAAAACTGACGGTCGTTGTTCAGGTAGCACGTGCGTAGATGGATATTTCGGCGACTTCTGTACGTCGAGGTGCGAAACTAACTGTAAAGACGGGCAATGTGACAAGAACACAGGCCATTGTGTGGGTGAGTGTGCTTTAGGTTTTTACGGGGATTTCTGCACTTCTGCCTGTCGTTCACAATGTTTCCAATCTTTATGTAGTAGGTATTCTGGTGTTTGTGTACAGGGCTGTGTGACCGGGTACCGTGGCGACCACTGTAATCTTACGTGCAGCTCCCAGTGCGCAGATAACACATGTAATCAGCATACGGGGGCTTGTGAAGGCTCTTGCATGCTTGGATACTACGGTTCATTTTGCAACGATCCATGTAATAATTGCTTGGACGGAAGATGTGAAAAATCAGATGGTGCATGTTTGGGACTTTGTAAATCCGGTTTCTATGGCGATAAATGTCTCACGCCTTGTAACAATGCATGCGAAGGACCAATTTGTGAAAAATCGAGCGGGAAGTGTTTAGGTGACTGTATCAACGGTTACTATGGCGACTTTTGTAATATCGAATGTAGCTCTAACTGTTTCGATAGAGTTTGTATTAAGTCTTCCGGAGTTTGTGGATCCGGGTCTTGTTCTGCTGGGTTTTATGGACCTTACTGCAACAAAACATGTGCTGACGTCACCAATGACGTAAGGTGCACTGAATGTCAGGGAGTATCTAACAACTATTACTGTATCGAATGCACCCCTGGATTCTATGCAGACAACACGTGTAAATCATGCAGCACTGGCTGTTTGAACGGACAGTGTTTCGGTAACAATGGGACATGTGTGTCCGGGTGTATCGCTGGTAAGCGCGGGATCAGATGTGAGCAGGACTGTAGTGTCAACTGTCAGGACAACAAATGTAGTGTCTCAGGCGTCTGTACGGTTGGCTGCATGACTGGAAAATATGGCGCCTTTTGTGACCAGGACTGCGGCAGTTGTTCATCCGGAAGGTGTGACGTCACTACCGGTAATTGTGACAGTCAGTGTATAACGGGGTTTCACGGTGAGCAATGTAAAGACCTCTGCTCCGCTTCATGTAAGAGTTCCATTTGTGTTAAGGCGGATGGTAAGTGTGGAAGCTGCAATGCCGGACACTGGGGTTTCTATTGTCAGTTTATGTGCCAGAATTGTGCAGCGGGGCTTTGCTATCAGGACACGGGCGCATGTACAGGTTTATGTGAAGACGATTCTTTTCATGGTATTCATTGTAACGAAAGTTGTAGTGACTTGTGTGCAGACAAACGATGCCAGAAAGACAATGGACAGTGTATGGGAGCCTGTTTAGGAGGATACTGGGGAGATGATTGTTCCACTCGCTGTCACCTCAACTGTAAGACGGGAAGTTGTCAGAAGTCGAACGGATACTGTTCGGGTGAGTGTGCACTTGGTTTTTACGGTAATTTCTGCAATTCTTCGTGTCCTTCAACTTGTAGTCTTGTAGCGTGTGATAAAACGCAAGGATCCTGTACGGGTGGCTGTAAAAGCGGCTTCTATGGGACTTATTGTGAACATGCATGCAGTGATGGATGTGAATCACGTTGTTACCAGACAAGTGGAGAATGTGACGTTGTTGATGGTTGTAAACCTGGACGATTTGGGCCGTTCTGTGCCAGCAGGTGTGGGACATTCTGCCTTAATAACAACTGTGACCAGACGACGTCAAAGTGTTTGGACGGGTGCATGCCGGGATATTGGAATCCCTATTGTAACGAAACATGCGACACTACACGCTGCGCTGACTCCAACTGTAACCCAGTTGACGGAAGCTGTCGAGGGGTGTGCCAGCTTGGGTATTATGGCGCCAACTGTTCGTTGATCTGTAGTGCTAACTGTTTGAACCAGCAATGTGACCAGGCCACAGGACGGTGTAGTAACGCCTGTAAACCCGACTATTACGGTCAAATGTGTAATCAGGATTGCAGCAGTTGTGCCAGCGGGTCATGTGATCGCACCAGTGGAGTATGTTATGGCGCATGTGACCCGGGCTTTTACGGAACATACTGCCGTGACAGATGCAACACGAACTGCGCGGGCGGCATATGTGACCAAGGTACAGGAAGGTGCTCAAACGGTTGTGTGAGCGGCTACTACGGAGCTACGTGTGACCAGACCTGCAGCAGCTTGTGTAACGGAAGTGTGTGTCACCAGACTACTGGACATTGTGTGACGTGTGGATCAGGAAGGTATGGGGACGCGTGTACCAGTTTCTGTGACTCTCATTGCCTCGGGAACAGCTGTGATCGGAACACTGGGCAATGTATATCGGGTTGTACTATCGGATATTACACTGCATACTGCAACCAAACCTGTCAGCCGGGTTGTTCCTCAAACATGTGCAACTGGCTGACTGGAAACTGTGTCGGTGGTTGTGATAACGGTTTCTATGGCAGTCAATGCAACCAGCTTTGTAGCGGCTTCTGTCGTAACAGCATTTGTGAACAGTTTAGCGCCACCTGTACGGAGGGATGCATCGCTGGGCGTTATGGAACCAACTGTACATCTTTGTGTATCAACTGTGACACTTGTAATCAAGTGACTGGTAATTGTTTATGTCCAGATGGGAAATACGGAAACGATTGCTCTCTCAATTGTAATGGAGCGTGCCGAAAGTCATCCAGTTTGTTTCCTGTTTGTGACCGTTTAACAGGACACTGCACTTTGGGTTGTGAAGTTGGTTTCTACGGAGACATTTGTGATCAGACTTGCAGCGCATCAAATCAGTGTCTAGGTACCGGATGTGCTCAAACCAATGGAGCATGCATCGACGCATGCGTCAACGGATGGACAGGCGCTTGGTGCAATCAGCAATGTAGCACACAGTGTGTGGATAAATCATGTCATCAAACTTCGGCCAACTGTACTCTCGGCTGCATGCCCGGTTACTATGGAGACGTCTGTGACATGCAGTGCCCCGACTGCCTAACCTGCGATAGGAATGGCGTTTGTGTCACCTGTCAGGCGGGAAAGTATGGATCAAATTGTTTGTCTAGCTGTCCTAACTGCCTGACCTCCCCAACATCAAGTAGCACGTGCAACATAAGCTCTGGTGTCTGTCTACACGGCTGTATGACCGGTTTCTATGGCGAAAAGTGTCTCAGTCCATGTTTTAGTTGTCTCACATGCGACGTAACAGGTAAATGTTTAACTTGTCCTGCTGGGAAGTTTGGTCAACTTTGTCAGTCAAGCTGTCCGAACTGTCGGGTGTCTTCTACTTCTACCAGCACGTGCAATGCTGACAGCGGGATCTGTCTGTTTGGCTGTAAAACAGGTTACTATGGTGAGAAGTGTGACAGTTCGTGCAGCACAGGATGTCAAAGCGGCTGCAACAAAGTATCCGGAACATGTATTGATGGCTGTCGCACAGGTTTCTATGGTGCCCGTTGCGAAAATGCATGTCCCGAATGTTACACTTGCGACGGATCCGGTGATTGTGTGCAATGTTTTGCCGGGAAATTTGGAATACAATGTTCGTCTAGTTGTCCGAATTGTAAAGCAGATGTATCCTCTGTAGAAACATGCGATAAGATTTCGGGTGTCTGCCTGAATGGCTGTAACTCTGGTTACTATGATGATAGATGCAATACTGACTGTAACAGTGAGTGTTACGACGGCTGCACGAGTTCTGGTGCCTGTATTGGTGGCTGTAATGAGGGTTACTATGGGGATCGATGTGACGTAGCTTGCAGTAGTGGCTGTAACGGTGGCTGTCATTCTGTGACAGGCATATGCATTGGAGGCTGTCTCAGTGGTTACTATGGCAGCACGTGCAACGTCACCTGTAGCAGTGGCTGCATTGAGGGTTGTGAAGTGAATTCGAATATTTGTGTAGGTGACTGCCTGGAGGGATACTATGGCGATCGATGTGATATAACGTGTAGCATTGGCTGTAACGGCGGGTGCCTAACAGGTACGAGTACATGTATAGATGGCTGCAAAAGTGGTTTTTATGGCGTGAAATGTGATGGCATTTGTAGCGAAAACTGTCAAAACGGCTGTTCCCTTGGCACAAGTGTTTGTATAAATGGCTGCATTAATGGTTACTATGGTGAAAGATGCGACGTTCGTTGCAGTGTTGGCTGTCAGACAAGCTGTTATGATGAATCGGGTATATGCATAGATGGCTGTCTTGGTGGTTTCTATGGCGACAGATGTGACTTGAAGTGCAGTACTGGCTGCAAAAGTGACTGCGAACCAGTGACAGGTATATGTTACAGTGGCTGTCAGAATGGTTTCTATGGCGAAAAATGTGACGCAATTTGTAGTACGGCATGTGTTGATGGATGTTCCGCGACAAATGGGGACTGCATTGGAGGCTGTCGTACCGGTTTCTATGGCAAAAAATGTGAATTCACTTGTAGCGAAAGTTGTATTGGTGGCTGTCGGTACGGAACAAGTTCCTGTATAGGTTTATGCCAGGAAGGTTGGTTTGGACCTGAATGTACTTCGGCTTGCACAAACTGTAACAAAAATGCAACACGGATCAACTGTGATAAAGCGACAGGAGCTTGCCTGTTCGGATGTATCACAGGGTATTATGGTGCCTTCTGTAGCTTTACATGTCCAAGCACTTGCGAAACCAATGAATGCAATATTGACAATGGTAACTGTTTGTATGGCTGCAGTGACGGTTACTGGGGAGACCGATGTGAACGGACATGCCTGTCTATGTGTAGGAATGGAACCTGTCGACAGGTGGACGGATACTGTCAGACGGGCTGTGAATCAGGAGCCTGTTCCACTGGAGGTTCGCACTCGCTTTCTAAGCTGCACTGTTTGGTTAAGCTTTTGTAGTCTTGCTGTAATTTTGCTTTTTGTATTTTTGACTTACGATGGAAAATTGTGAGGACAAACAACATGAGAACAACGCTATTAACTTTTTTTTATCCAAACCTGTCTCATACTTCAGTTTTATCTATCCTTCTGTATATTTCTATCTGTTCTCTATCAACTAATTTTGTTGTAATGATGTCGCTGAGCAGATTTCCATGGTATTTTACTGACCAGTGGTTTAAACCTATTTCGCAGTGTTTGACCACGATGACGTCATCACTCAAAGCACGAAATAGTTCATGCACTTTGTAGTGTGTTTACTTGTCAACCTGCATGCTAATTATGTCTTATTTCAATAACCATGTGGACCAATCTGTCAGCTTGTGCGCGAACGCGCGCACATGTTCAGCACCCACCAACTAAATGCACGTGATTTTCTTAAACAGGTGGTGGTTTGAATCAATATATGTGTTGCTTTCCCTTTTACTTTGGTGTGGTATGCGGTGATGGTTATGCTCACATCAATTTTCAAAAAATATCAAAAAGTTTATGAAATAATAATATATATGAAATATGATTTATACTGCATATCATGTAGTGTTATTTTCTCCTGTTTATATCAAATGATTAAGTACAGGGGATACACAGGCATCCCATTTATAGCCTAGCAACTACAGTGAATCAAAACTTAGTAGCTTGATCAGGTTGTTATTCAGATAAATTCAGGACTCGAAATCAAAACATTCGCTCTTAAATAATGCAAAAATCCCGTTTATCCTTTGTATGTGACTCGAAATCAAAACATTCGCTCTTAAATAATGCAAAAATCCCGTTTATCCTTTGTCTGTCTTTATATTTTCCTGATCATTTTACAACAACTTTCATGTTCTTAATATTTCATAACCAAGCAAAGATTCAATTTTTCAAATTGTTCCAATTAGACACATCGTCTGACAGCAATCTTTCTTAGAAAGAAATTTCAACTAGACACGAGTTTATAAACGACCAAAATTTCAAATAGACACGAGTTTATAAACGACCAAAATTTCAAATAGACATGAATTTGTGAAAGAACAATAAGGCACACGTTTGTAACAGACCGAAGTTTCTAATAAGGCACACGTTTGTAACAGACCGAAGTTGCAAATAAGTACGCAGTTTTTTTAATAGACATGAGTTTCCCTTTAAAGAGGTCTTGTCTTTATTGTTTAAGAGTATATACTTTGGTAAAGGTACGGTTATACTGACGTCCAGATAAAGGTAAAATGTAGGGTATCTGGCTTGGTTTATGAACGTGTAGCAGAACACGGTTACAATAGTGTGTTACAAACCAGTTCTTTAAAACGAGGAAACGGAGTATGGAAAATAATGGCGTGTTGATCACGTGATCTTTAGCTACTGAGGGTCGATTCATATATCGCCCTGTTGACGAGAATTGTTTTTCAGTGACCGATGGTGAGTATTCATGATTTTATCAGACAAGCTTGTGCCTGTTTATTTCACATCATTTTTTGTACATGATATAGTGTAATTGGCTATATTTTTCACACGTGATACACACGTGTAGCTTATAGATAGACTAAACTTCATAGATACGACCAGAGACAAAATGTCCGAGTAATATCTGTTTTCTTGACTATAGTTTAAAATCGATAATCTTTCAAAAAAAAAAATTATTCTAAAGTAGAAAGTTGTTGGACTGAGGCCTTCCGAGAAGGGTGTCAGGATACTGTCTGGGTGGTTCCTCTGTTTGACTTTAAAAAGGAAAACATTTTCCTTAAAAGTTCAGTGAAGTAACTTTGAATGTCGGTTCGATTATTTGTAATTAATTTTCGTTTCTTTCGTTCTTTTTTATTTTTTATTTATTTATTTATTTTTTTTTTAAGCTAGGTGAACATTTTTGATTCTCGAATCAGTTCATTGTTAAGTACTTTAGCAAAGAAATGTAATAAAAAAAGATAATTACTCCTCAACATTACAATGTCTGCTTAGATAGATCTCTCATTTTTGAAATTGTGAACGATATTTAAATGGAAGTTTTCGATCATTTCAACAACTCTACATGTCTCAACTGATGGGTAAATCTGAAGTAAAATAATGCTGATTTAACTTAAAAGAAAAACAAGGATAACAGGTTTATTGACTTTGTTACTCGGTTTTGAGCTTACAAGTTTAAAACGTTTCACAATTTCAAAACTGATAAGATTAGGATGGGGATTTAGAATGAAGGGTACATATAAAGTCAAAGCCATTTTTTTATATTCACGCCTTACCAGATAATTTTACACTGCATTGATCAGCATGCCCAACATCACCCCGACCTTTTGTCATGCTGCAAAACTTCAACTCCTTCACACGTTGCTAAGGGGAGTAACTCCAACCAACTCTGGTTGACGGGACATTTCTAACAAAAATTAAATACTTTTCTACAAGTAGAAAGGTAGTGAAAAAGTGAATGTTTTGCAGCATTACGAAACTATAGAATACATACACTTATACTGATATAATATATCGTAATTTGATGGTTCGTTAGTCTTTGACTAGTGAAACGTGAATTCTACATGGCAGAGATAGGGCATGAAACATGTTAGAATCTCCTCTACAAGAGCTCTGTTATGTTAAAAATTTCGTGAGGCAAGCTTCATTCTGTCAACAAATTCATTTCAGTCTGAACAATCTGCTGGTTAATGTTTTAATTTGACAATCGACAAAGCAACTATTTTTCTCGTTTTAAAATATATTTAAATATATAAAACCATTGTCTTGTCATTCTTTCTATGTTTTAATGGACTGATATCTTCTACTATCGATTATCGTTACATGAATATCAATTGTATTTATTCTAGGATTCACCATTCGAATTCATGAGATTTTAATGAAAGTAAAATATGTATTATTCTTTCTGTCAACAGTTTTAGTTGTACCAAACACCACAAGGAACCTAGCTCTTATCATCAGTTTATCTGTGGTCGGTGGAATACTTATACCTCTCATCATCGCCATCATCTGCTGCTGTCGTCGACGGTAAGTAAAATATTATGGTTCCCTTTAACGATATGCAATTTAATTTAGTCTAAAGGAAAAGGTCATACTTTGCTATTACATATTAATTCGGGTCCAACTGATTTCCACGCAATCAGAGCTCAGAATGGACAAATTTGAAGGGACGTAACTCTGCAGAGATTATTGGCCTCTTATCTCTATAATCAATGAGTTAAATTGAAACAAAAACAACTGGGTCATATAATTAGTTTTTCATTGTTTGATAATATAGAATATGTATTTCCGAAGAAGCGTGGTTCGAAAAAAGTCCCATTGCAGAATTTTTCGACCGCGCCAGAAGTGTACATCTAAATACGCCGATTAATATATCGAGTTCTGAAATAGATATATTCATTTCTTTATATTAGTGAAATTTATTTGTAAATTAATTAAATTGCTGATTGATTAAATTATTCCTCTGAATTATGAATTATATTTCACTTCAGCCGTCAAGGACAAGATCGCACGACTTTGATGAACGGAAATATTGCATTGTCTACTGCTAATGGCGGCGCCGTCAACAAAGGTAAGATCGTGTGACGTCATCGCTCAGTCATACACAAAACATTTCCATGTTGTCCCATGATTCATTGCGTCATTTAGTGTGTTTAAATGATCTATTGTAACGCCACTTTAAAGCCGTCATTTTGAAGCACATTTATGTTGATAACATTTTATGGTTAATCCGTTTACCATTTTTCCAGGGTATTCCAGCGGACTTGACAATATCAGCTCGGGAACTGGTTTCTATAGCAACGGGAACAAATATGGTCAGGTTGGAGAACAATTAAGCATTCACGCGCCGGATGGTCAGATCAGTTACAGAGTAAGTGGTCACTCACCAAACAACAACAAGTTATTCTGATCCTAAACGTATTTCATAATCTTATAATTCTGTTTTTGTGATTCACATATAAACTGAGACCATTGGTGTATAAAGTCAGAGATGAATTAGGGACGACCAGTTCTTAAGAAGACAAGTTGAAAAGTGTTGAACATTTCTCATGGCAGAAATTTTATTTACACGAGAACTATCTTTATAAAGGACGCTTTACTTAGTCAATGAAAAGTAACATCAAAGTTCTGTCTCCACAACAAAATGTCACGTCAAAGTTCTGTTTTGCAATATGACGTCACATCAAAGTTCTATCTCCACAACATGACGTCAGATCAAAGTTCTGTCTCCACAACAAAATGTCACGTCAAAGTTCTGTTTTGCAATATGACGTCCCATCAAAGTTCTATTTCCACAACATGACGTCACATCAAAGTTCTGTCTCCACAACATAACGTCACATCAAAGTTCTGTCTCCACAACAAAATGTCACGTCAAAGTTCTGTTTTGCAATATGACGTCACATCAAAGTTCTATCTCCACAACATGACGTCACATCAAAGTTCTCTCTCCACAACATGACGTCACATCAAAGTTCTGTCTCCACAACATAACGTCACATCAAAGTTCTGTCTCCACAACAAAATGTCACGTCAAAGTTCTGTTTTGCAATATGACGTCACATCAAAGATCTGTCTCCACAACATTACGTCACATCAAAGGTCTGTCTCCACAACATGACATCACATCAAAGTTCTGTCTCCACAACATGACGTCACATCAAAGGTCTGTCTTCACAACATAACATCACATCAAAGTTCTGTCTCCATAACATCACATCAAAGTTCTGTCTCCACAACATGACTTCACATCAAAGTTCTGTCTCCACAACATGACGTCACATCAAAGCTCTGTCTCCATAACATCACATCAAAGTTCTGTCTCCACAACATAACATCACATCAAAGTTCTGTCTCCATAACATCACATCAAAGTTCTGTCTCCACAACATGACGTCACATCAAAGTTCTGTCTCCACAACATAACGTCACATCAAATTTCTGTCTCCACAACATGATGTCACATCAAAGTTCTGTCTCCACAACATGATGTCACATCAAAATTCCGCCCTTTCATCATGACGTCACATCATTGTTTCCTCCTACCAGTATAACGTCACATGAGAATGTTGTCATTTTTGACACTGTTGTATAATTGTTGAGGTCTAAATTAATTACCGATGACGTCATACAATGACGACCTCTTCTATCGTTTCAGGGGGGCGACACACAAAGTGGAAGTCATGTGTCTGCATATTTCGCTAGTAATACATCAAACATGGCCGGATCTCACATCTCCACCGACAAAGTTGTCAAGTCCTCCTTTGTCCTTCTGGACGGAACAAAAGGGGTCAAAGTTCAAGAGTTTTCATCGTTTGTGACTCAAATGACAGATCGAGGCTTTGAAATGGAACATGCGGTAAGTGGTTGAGTTAACAAAGGTGACATTGAGCTCCATATTGGTCTTGTCTTTATCCAATGGGATTCACATGGACTATAGATGCCGAAGAGTTATTGATAAAACACATTGACTATAAATGCCGAAGAGTTATTGATAAGACACATTGACTATAAATGCCGAAGAGTTATTGATAAGACACATTGACTATAAATTCCGAAGAGTTATTGATAAGACACATTGACTATAAATTCCGAAGAGTTATTGATAAGACACATTGACTATAAATTCCGAAGAGTTATTGATAAGACACATTGACTATAAATGCCGAAGAGTTATTGATAAGATATAATTCTTACCATTTTGAATCGTTTCATTTGTAAACCAGGATGTCACACTTTATACACAGTCAAATATAGGAAATCATTGTAATGTATTGATATAGGTAAGTGTAGAATGTTTCTGTCTATGTATAACTAGATATCCCGTCTCACGTAACTTCATCCTAGGAAGTCTAAAGTTGGTTTCTAGTCCCAAGTTCCGTTTTTCAAAACCGGAAATGGGAACCAGACCTCGTTACGTCCAACAAAACCGGAAATGGGAACCAGACCTCGTTACGTCCAACAAAACCGGAACTGGGTACCAGATCGTAGTTCCGTTTTAAAAAAGCGAAAATAGGAAGAGGACCCAACTTAAGGCTTCGACAATCTATTGTTTTAGTTTGTCCCTCTCAGTAAATGTCATTATGTACGTGTAATTAACACGCTGACATAAGATGATAAAGTTGCGGTAATAACGACCTGTCTTGTCCTTTATAGACACTACCGCAGGGCCTCCAGCATCCCCACGCAGCCGCACTTCGTCCGGAAAACAGATCAAAGAACAAGTACAAGGATATATATCCCTGTAAGTATCCTCCTAAACAGACATAATATTGTAATGTAATTATCTGTGTGTGTCTAAATAATCTTTTCACTTAGCCTTGGGGTAATTACCTCGGACGTTTTGGAGAACTCTCCCTATACATTTCTGTAGACTGACGTTAACAAACCAAATTCATGTTTTATTTCATTGAGAAACATCATGAAAGGTGGGAAATCGTGAAAGATGTTAGCATTCGATTCTATTTTCCATCTAAACAGTTATGAGTTTTGTTCTGAAAGGAAGCATACATGTTTATCTTTTGGATATATACCTCATGGCATTAGGTCAATATCATGACGGCTTGCAATAATGACGTGTTAGCCGTGATGACGTCACCCATCGATATTGTGACGTCGTTTATATGTTTAATACGGTCATCATACGAGTGTCATTATTTATCCAAGTGATTGCGGATGTGTCTACTATGGCAAAGCAAGAAGGCTTTATATCATAGGTTTCGTGTTTCATCGTTTAACAAAAATGTACAGTCTAGGGTCAGACTAATTTTTTTGTTAATTAGAATGTGTTTGTTTCAGTTAACCATTTGAGGGTCAGTGCTTTTATATTAATCTTGTGTTATAGATCTATTAGCGCTATTTAAAGATGGCCACTAAAGGGAACGTGTGCACTGGTTAGTTGTATATTTAAAGTTGACCACTCCACTGTCAGAATAACCTGTTTATGATATAATGTATATTTGCTCAGATGACCACTCAAGGGTCGTACTGGACATTGATGCCGATAACTTTACAGATTACATCAACGCATCCTATATTGACGTAAGTATACTACGTCATAATTTAGTGACGTCACAAGAAGTTATACAATGTCTACTAATAGGTATTTTTTTTTTACATTTTCTCGATCTACATTAAACAGGGTGGGGGTTGGGGTGGGGGGTGGGGGGTGGGGTAGGGTGGGGGTATCCGTTGATTGATAGGACGCGACGTGGGGGTTAGGGATCAGTCAGATTGATAGGGAACAAGGTTAGGGGGGGGGGGTCAGTCAGATAGACAGGGAGCAAGGTGGGGGGGTTAGTCAGATTGATAGTGAGCGAGGTGGGGGACAGTCAGATTGATAGGGAGCGAGGTGGGGGGGGGTAGTCAGATTGATAGTGAGCGAGGTGGGGGGTTAGTCAGATTGATAGGGAGCGAGGTGGGGAGGGGGTTAGTCAGATTGATAGGGAGCGAGGTGGGGGTCAGTCAGATTGATAGGGAGTGAGGTGGGGAGGGGGTTAGTCAGATTGATAGGGAGCGAGGTGGGGTCAGTCAGATTGATAGGGAGCGAGGTGGGGGGTTAGTCAGATTGATAGGGAGCGAGGTGGGGGTTAGTCAGATTGATAGTGAGCGAGGTGGGGAGGGGGTTAGTCAGATTGATAGTGAGCGAGGTGGGGAGGGGGTTAGTCAGATTGATAGGGAGCGAGGTGGGGAGGGGGTCAGTCAGATTGATAGGGAGCGAGGTGGGGAGGGGGTTAGTCAGATTGATAGGGAGCGAGGTGGGGAGGGGGTTAGTCAGATTGATAGGGAGCGAGGTGGGGGGCTTAGTCAGATTGACAGTGAGCGAGGTGGGGGGTGGGTTAGTCAGATTGATAGGGAGCGAGGTGGGGGGTTAGTCAGATTGATAGGGAGCGAGGTGGGGGGGGGTAGTCAGATTGATAGTGAGCGAGGTGGGGGGGGGGTTAGTCAGATTGATAGGGAGCGGGGTGGGGGGGGGTTAGTCAGATAGATAGGGAGCGAGGTGGGGAGGGGTGGGGGGTTAGTCAGATTGATAGGGAGCGAGGTGGGGGTCAGTCAGATTGATAGGGAGCGAGGTGGGGAGGGGGTTAGTCAGATTGATAGTGAGCGAGGGGGGGGGGGTTAGTCAGATTGATAGGGAGCGAGGTGGGGGGTTAGTCAGATTGATAGGGAGCGAGGTGGGGAGGGGGTTAGTCAGATTGATAGGGAGCGAGGTGGGGGTCAGTCAGATTGATAGTGAGCGAGGTGGGGGTCAGTCAGATTGATAGGGAGTGAGGTGGGGGTTTGTCAGATTGATAGGGAGCGAGGTGGGGAAGGGGGAGCGAGGTGGGGAGGGGGTTAGTCAGATTGATAGTGAGCGAGGTGGGGGTCAGTCAGATTGATAGGGAGCGAGGTGGGGAGGGGGTTAGTCAGATTGATAGGGAGCGAGGTGGGGAGGGTTAGTCAGATTGATAGGGAGCGAGGTGGGGGGGGTCAGTCAGATAGATAGGGATAGGGAGCGAGGGGGGGGGGTTAGTCAGATTGATAGGGAGCGAGGTGGGGGTTAGTCAGATTGATAGGGAGCGAGGTGGGGAGGGGGTTAGTCAGATTGATAGGGAGCGAGATGGGCAGGGGGTTAGTCAGATTGATAGGGAGCGAGGTGGGGGTCAGTCAGATTGATAGGGAGCGAGGTGGAGGGGTCAGGGGGTTAGTCAGATTGATAGGAGCGAGGTGGGGGTCAGTCAGGATAGGGAGCGAGGGGGGGGTCAGTCAGATTGATAGGGAGCGAGGTGGGGGGGATAGGGAGCGAGGTGTTAGTCAGATTGATAGGGAGCGAGGTGGGGGTCAGTCAGATTGATAGGGAGCGAGGTGGGGGGGGGGGGTTAGTCAGATTGATAGGGAGCGAGGTGGGGAGGGGGTTAGTCAGATTGATAGGGAGCGAGGTGGGGGTCAGTCAGATTGATAGGGAGCGAGGTGGGGGGGTCAGATTGATAGGGAGCGAGGTGGGGGGGGGTTAGTCAGATTGATAGGGAGCGGGGTGGGGGGTTAGTCAGATAGATAGGGAGCGAGGTGGGGGTCAGTCAGATTGATAGTGAGCGAGGTGGGGGTCAGTCAGATTGATAGTGAGCGAGGTGGCGGGTTAGTCAGATTGATAGGGAGCGAGATGGGGAGGGGGTCATTCAGATTGATAGTGAGCGAGGTGGGGGGTTAGTCAGATTGATAGGGAGCGAGGTGGGGAGGGGGTTAGTCAGATTGATAGGGAGCGAGGTGGGGGTCAGTCAGATTGATAGTGGAGCGAGGATTGATAGGAGGAGGTGGGGGTCAGTCAGATTGATAGTGAGCGAGGTGGGGGGTCAGTCAGATTGATAGGGAGTGAGGTCGGGAGGGGGTTAGTCAGATTGATAGGGAGCGAGGTGGGGAGGGGGTTAGTCAGATTGATAGGGAGCGAGGTGGGGGTCAGTCAGATTGATAGGGAGCGAGGTGGGGGTCAGTCAGATTGATAGGGAGCGAGGTGGGGGTTTAGTCAGATTGATAGGGAGCGAGGTGGGGGTCAGTCAGATTGATAGGGAGCGAGGTGGGGAGGGGATTAGTCAGATTGATAGGGAGCGAGGTGGGGGTCAGTCAGATTGATAGGGAGCGAGGTGGGGGTCAGTCAGATTGATAGGGAGCGAGGTGGGGGGTTAGTCAGATTGATAGGGAGCGAGGTGGGGAGGGGGTTAGTCAGATTGATAGGGAGCGAGGTGGGGAGGGGGTTAGTCAGATTGATAGGGAGCGAGGTGGGGGTCAGTCAGATTGATAGGGAGCGAGGTGGGGGTTAGTCAGATTGATAGTGAGCGAGGTGGGGGGTTAGTCAGATTGATAGGGAGCGAGGTGGGGGTCAGTCAGATTGATAGTGAGCGAGGTGGGGGTCATTCAGATTGATAGTGAGCGAGGTGTAGGGGACAGTCAGATTGATAGTGAGCGAGGTGTAGGGGGGACAGTCAGATTGATAGTGAGCGAGGTGTAGGGGGGGCCAGTCAGATTGATAGGGAGCGAGGTGGGGGTCAGTCAGATTGATAGGGAGCGAGGTGTAGGGGGGACAGTCAGATTGATAGGGAGCGAGGTGGGGGTCAGTAAGATTGATAGGGAGCGAGGTGGGGGTCAGTCAGATTGATAGGGAGCGAGGTGGGGTTCAGTCAGATTGATAGGGAGCGAGGTGGGGGGTCAGTCAGATTGATTGGGAGCGAGGTATCGGGGGGTTAGGTCAGATTGATAGGGAGCGAGGTGGGGTCAGTCAGATTGATAGGGAGCGAGGTTGGGAATGGGTCAGTCAGATTGATTGGGAATGAGGCGAGATGGGGGGTGGGGGTCAGTCAGATTGATAGGGAACAAGGTGAGGGGTCAGTCAGATTGAAAGGGAACGAGGTGAGGGGGTCAGTCAGACTGATAGGGAGCGAGGTAGAGAGGGGTCAGTCAGTCTGATAGGAAGCGAGGTAGAGGGGGGTCAGTCATACTGATAGGGAGCAAGTGACGTTTGTTAGTCATGTATTTTAACTTAATGACCAAGTGGTATTAGGTCAGATATTGTCATGTTACGTGTACGGCTGGAATAAGACTTTTGCAAAAGCAATGACTGTTCGTGTTACTTTTTAGTGATTCTAAGTTAATTCTGAGTCTTTAAAGAACGTCTTCTCTTCCATAACAAATCCGAGTGCCGAAAAACAGCCACGTATAATTTTGCTGTATTCGGCAATGACGGAAAACAGCTGCATTTTGCATTTTCGCAAGTGCGGTAATTTAACAGAATTTTTTTCTGCATTTACTTAAATATTGCGTTTAGAAATATAAATATTTGTTGAAATAAGCGATTGTACATGTTTTGATGAACAAATTGCGCGGAGCAATTATTTTGGCGTCCGTCAACAGGCAAAATTCAGCGTAACGTCAATGTCAGGTAAACACAGATTGGACAACAAAACTGTTTAAGTTTCAATAGTCTGATTTTCATTCAATGTTGCAGGATAAATAGAATACATGGTCAGTGTCTTAAAATATAAGATGAATGTTGACGAGTGTAAGAAAGACCAAAATGGCGAGCTCTAGCTATCTATTTTCTCTATACTGTGTCACTACATTTTATCCACCATCACACGTGTTTGTGTATGTATGAACTATCTCGTTATCAAAATGGTCACATGATGTTATCAGCACTAAATTTGAGAGGAGTTTCCCGAATAAACTGAGAGGTTTAATATGACATTGAAAATCGACTGTGAGGATCGGGATGGCATATAAACCTCCCTAGAAAGACAATGTTTTAAACGTCGTTCCGAATAAATCCATTTCTCACTTTCCTTAGAAACAAATCACCACGGGTATGGACCGTCAATCCACAATCCTCGATCTTCACTAGGGTAACTTAGTCCAAAACTCTATCGCGTTATCGCGATTGATTGAAACTTCGAAAATCTTCTTCTTAAACCCAAGGAATGGTAGAGTCATATACTCTTCAGGGATGGAAAGGCCTTCAGATGCTTTACCAAAATTGTAAATTTCATGACCCCAGGGTCTCACATGTCTCCCTTGGGAGAGGTAAACACTTACTATAGTTATATAGGAAAGTTACATTTTTGAAAATTATTTGTTGAATTTCTGTTAAGATCAGTTTAAACTTGGTTAGAACTTTATTGAGTGTAATGTATTTTTATTCAAACTTTGTTAGAAGCCTTAGCATAAGACAGCAGTTAATGTATACACAAATTATATTTGTATTATGTGTACAATATAGTTAAAGTTATCTTACCTTTTTAACAAAATCATTTCAATGACATGTTACATGAAACATTGTGGCTCAGGTGACCGTTAAGGCCCTTGGGACCTCTTGTAAGAGCTAATATAACATCATCCGTAATTTAAAAACTCAATGATTTCAACGATATATTTACTTGTGATGTTTCAGGGTTTCCAGACCGAAAAAGCCTACGTTGCGAGCCAAGGTAAACATTTAGTGTTATTAATATCCATGTCTTCATACTGTCAAGAATTCTCATTGTCAACTTCTCAACTTCTCTCACTGATTACAGTCAAGCAAAATATATATATTTTTCCTCCAAACTTTTTCAGGTCCCACTGAAACAATGGTGGACGACTTTTGGAGAATGGTGTGGAAACTGGACTGTAAAACTATCATCATGGTCACAAACTTAGTGGAGGGAGGGGTAGGTACTGTTGTCAAGGTCACTAACACAGTAGAGGGAGGGGTAAGTACTGTTGTCATGGTAACTAACACAGTAAAGGGAGGGGTAAGTACTGTTGTCATGGTCACTAACACAGTGGAGGGAACTAACGTACAATTGTCAACTCACTAACACAGTGGAGGGAGGGGTAGGTACTGTTGTCATGGTCACTAACACAGTGGAGGGAGGGGTAGGTACTGTTGTCATGGTCACTAACACAGTAACTGTTGTAACACAGTGGAGGGAGGGGTAGGTACTGTTGTCATGGTCACTAACACAGTGGAGGGAGGGGTAAGTACTGTTGTCATGGTCACTAACACAGTGGAGGGAGGGGTAGGTACTGCTGTGATCTGAAGTAAAAAATTCTGAGCTCCGGTCGCAAATTTGGACATGGTCACTAACACAGTGGAGGGAGGGGTAGGTACTGTTGTCATGGTCACTAACACAGTGGAGGGAGGGGTAGGTACTGTTGTCATGGTCACTAACACAGTGGAGGTTGTCATGGTCAGTGGAGGGAGGGGTAGGTACTGCTGTAGGTACTGTTGTCATGGTCACTAACACAGTGGAGGGAGGGGTAGGTACTGTTGTCATGGTCACTAACACAGTGGAGGGAGGGGTAGGTACTGTTGTCATGGTCACTAACACAGTGGAGGGAGGGGTAGGTACTGTTGTCATGGTCACTAACACAGTGGAGGGAGGGATAGGTACTGTTGTCATGGTCACTAACACAGTGGAGGGAGGGGTAGGTACTGTTGTCATGGTCACTAACACAGTGGAGGGAGGGGTAGGTACTGCTGTAATGTTTGCTAACTTATTGGAAGGTGGGGTAGGTACTGTTGTCATGGTCACTAACACAGTGGAGGGAGGGGTAGGTACTGTTGTCATGGTCACTAACACAGTGGAGGGAGGGGTAAGTACTGTTGTCATGGTCACTAACACAGTGGAGGGGTAGGTACTGTTGTCATGGTCACTAACACAGTGGAGGGAGGGGTAGGTACTGTTGTCATGGTCACTAACACAGTGGAGGGAGGGAAGGTACTGTTGTCATGGTTACTAACACAGTGAAGGGAGGGGTATGAACTGTTGCCATGGTCACTAACACAGTGGAGGGAGGGGTAGGTACTGTTGTCATGGTCACTAACACAGTGGAGGGAGGGGTAGGTACTGTTGTCATGGTCACTAACACAGTGGAGGGAGGGGTAGGTACTGTTGTCATGGTCACTAACACAGTGTAGGGAGGGATAGGTACTGTTGTCATGGTCGCTAACACAGTGGAGGGAGGGATAGGTACTGTTGTCATGGTCACTAACACAGTGGAGGGAGGGGTAGGTACTGTTGTCATGGTCACTAACACAGTGGAGGGTGGGGTAGGTACTGTTGTCATGGTCACTAACACAGTGGAGGGAGGGGTAGGTACTGTTGTCATGGTCACTAACACAGTGGAGGGAGGGGTAGGTACTGCTGTAATGTTTGCTAACTTATTGGAAGGTGGGGTAGGTACTGTTGTCATGGTCACTAACACAGTGGAGGGAGGGGTAGGTACTGTTGTCATGGTCACTAACACAGTGGAGGGAGGGGTGGGGTAGGTACTGTTGTCATGGTCACTAACACAGTGGAGGGTGGGGTAGGTACTGTTGTCATGGTCACTAACACAGTGGAGGGAGGGGTAGGTACTGTTGTCATGGTCACTAACACAGTGGAGGGAGGGGTTAGGTACTGTTGTCATGGTCACTAACACAGTGTAGGGAGGGGTAGGTACTGTTGTCATGGTCACTAACACAGTGGAGGGAGGGTTAGGTACTGTTGTCATGGTCACTAACACAGTGGAGGGAGGGGTAGGTACTGTTGTCATGGTCACTAACACAGTGGAGGGAGGGGTAGGTACTGCTGTAATGTTTGCTTACTTATTGGAAGGTGGGGTAGGTACTGTTGTCATGGTCACTAACACAGTGGAGGGAGGGGTAGGTACTGTTGTCATGGTCACTAACACAGTGGAGGGAGGGGTAGGTACTGTTGTCATGGTCACTAACACAGTGGAGGGAGGGGTAGGTACTGCTGTAATGTTTGCTTACTTATTGGAAGGTGGGGTAGGTACTGTTGTCATGGTCACTAACACAGTGGAGGGAGGGGTAGGTACTGCTGTAATGTTTGCTAACTTATTGGAAGGTGGGGTAGGTACTGTTGTCATGGTCACTAACACAGTGGAGGGAGGGATAGGTACTGTTGTCATGGTCACTAACACAGTGGAGGGAGGGGTAGGTACTGCTGTAATGTTTGCTAACTTATTGGAAGGTGGGTTAGGTACTGTTGTCATGGTCACTAACACAGTGGAGGGAGGGGTAGGTACTGCTGTAATGTTTGCTAACTTATTGGAAGGTGGGTTAGGTACTGTTGTCATGGTCACTAACACAGTGGAGGGAGGGATAGGTACTGTTGTCATGGTCACTAACACAGTGGAGGGAGGGGTAGGTACTGCTGTAATGTTTGCTAACTTATTGGAAGGTGGGGTAGGTACTGTTGCCATGGTCACTCACACAGTGGAGAGACGTGTACACATTTATAAGTCTCATGATGAACTAATGAGTACATTTTAAACAAGGTAATGATCCTTCTTTTTCAGGTTATCAAATGTATGCAGTATTGGCCCGAAGAAGGGGAGGAGGTTACTTATGGTAACATCACTATAACATGTGATGACGTTGAGCGTTATGCGGACTTCCGGATATCCAATCTCAACCTGAACGTTGTAAGTACAATAGTATTAAGTATTTCCTAACTATGTAGGATGAAAGAGTGTGACTGTGGGAACTTCAAATGTTGATTAGAGAAATCACATTAATTATTTATTGATTGATTTATACACTGTTTGATTTATTTTTCTTTTTATTTACATATATCCACACACCACGTATATAGTTACAAAATGTATTGATGTCTACTGAAATGTTGCAATCGACATCAGAAATCGACATCAGAAATCGAAATCAGAAATCGACATCTGAAATCGACATCAGAAATCGAAATCAGAAATCGAAATCAGAAATCGAAATCAGAAATCGACATCAGAAATCGACGATTGTAGCACAAGTTTGGATTATTAGAATTAAAATGGAACCGATAAAACTAAGTATGAGTTACATATGTACTATTGTAGGAAGGAGAGATGAAGTCGTTAAAGCACGCCCAGTTCTTGTCGTGGCCCGATAAGGAAGTCCCTAAATACGTTACGCCACTTGTGGAGTTCCACGAGAAAGTGAAGACCACAAACAGTGATGCTCCCATCGTAGTCCACTGTAGGTAAGCAAACATGACGTCAATGTGACGTCACTGAACAGGTCTTTCTCGCTTTTACTACTTTGGGGTATATTTTGGAAATACAATGCATTTTACTTTATGTATTTGATCATAGTCTTTTCCATTTTTATAAAATCTTTTGAACATCAAATCTTTCAAAACCCACTTCTATGCATCACACGATAGAGAAAATATTGAACTTACGGCACCAAAACAATGTCGCCATTTGGGCACTATTTTTTGACATGGAATGGACGGAAATATTTTAAATCTTTACAACTTTCAATGACAAAATTCAGAAAAAATCGTTTTCTAAAAGCCCAAATGTGACAAAACAATATTTGAGATTTATTTTATCTAATTGCTATTGCTCGTTACAGAGCTAGCGTTGGACGATATGACAGACAACTATCTGATATCATATTAATATGCTATTGCTCGTTACAGAGCTTGTGTTGGACGACATGACAGACAACTATCTGATATCATGTTAATATGCTATTGCTCGTTACAGAGCTAACGTTGGACGATATGACAGACAACTATCTGATATCATGTTAATATGCTATTGCTCGTTACAGAGCTAACGTTGGACGACATGACAGACAACTATCTGATATCATGTTAATATGCTATTGCTCGTTACAGAGCTAACGTTGGACGATATGACAGAAGACAACTATCTGAGATCATATTGAAACTGTATTTTTCATTACAGTGCTGGAGTCGGACGATCAGGAACATATATCGCCCTTGATTATCTACTTGAACAAGCAGAAGCTCAAGGTTCCGTCAATGTCCACGAGTGTGTCATGAAGATGAGGAACAATCGAGTAAACATGATACAGACAGCTGTAAGTACCACCCTCTCCGCATACCAGCCCCAGCCCCCTACCCACCACTTCCCCCCACCACTTCCCCCTACCCACCCCTTCCTTCTGCCTCACCCAAACACCACCCTGCCATAATTACCAACCTATCCCCCTGCCCACTCCTTCCTTCTGCCTCGCCCAAACACCACCCTACCGTAAGCATAACCCCATCCCCATACCCCTTTCATCCCACCGCCCTCCCCTCCTGCTCTACCAAACAGCAGCCGATCGTGAGACCCAAAGCCCCTTCCTTTCCTCCTGGAGACTGGATCGTACGAGAAATGTATGTTGTTTCATTTGAAGACTCGGAGATAAGTCATATTGCCGTATTTATTACAGGGCCAGTATCAATTTCTGTATACGGTCCTCGGGGCTGCTCTCAATAGTCGGGATACGATCGTACCTCTGGAGGAATTCTCACAATACTATAACGTCCTCAGACGGAACAACAACGACTCACAGACACACCTGCACAATCAGTATCAGGTAACCACTTCTGTCATGTCTAGTTAAAAATAATTTATGAAAAACTCTTTCATGACCAAGTAGCACCCAGAAATATACCTGAATAATGTAGATTTCCAAGTGTTGCTTTGGGGAAAATCTGTTTATTGATTTTAAATATATGGTGTTAAGCTTCCGTTACAACGATAAGACGTGTTTTGTTTCAGTTTTTTTATTTAACAATATATGAAAACATACAAGTAACACGTAAGCAGAACTTCATTGAATACTTAAACAATTCAAGTATACTGTAAATTATCAATTTTTGTGGGAGCATTATTTTCGTTGAATTCGCGGGTACTCTAAAGCCACAGTATAAATCTACGAGATGGCAGGCGGACATACAATTTAACATGAATTATAGTTCTAGCTGATTTGTGAAGCAAGATTTACCCTCAAAAGTGTATGACAACGAAGATGTATATTTTTGGAAAACCACGAAATTTGAGCCCCGAGAAAAAACATACTTTAACAGTAAATACACGCATAGCATTTTCTACACTAGTTTCATTCTTCCATAACAAGCCTACCGGTTTAGACTTTGCTGAGTGTTATCATTATGTTATCGACGTATTACATTGACCAGGGCACTGTAATATAAAATCTTATGTGGAGTTCGTCAATTTCAGAACCTGATTTCGCCCACTGATATGATGTATACAGCCGCACACATGCCAGAAAACGTCCCGAAAAATAGGGACCAAAACATCTTACCGTGTATGTATTTTAAACATTAAAGCTTGAAATAATTGGCGGAAGATTTGTAAATATATATATTTATTTTTAAGTTTAAAAAATTCATAATTACTCTCCTCAAATATCTTTTTTTAAAACAAGGCTTGTTTTTTCCAGGGAAGCACCTCCGATATATCTTGGGTATTTCTCGACCGAAACTCGTAGTAATACTTTTAAAAAATTACGTTTAACCATTATTTTCAACTCATGACGTCATTGCCTTGTGACGTCACAGTAGAAATATTAAACATCGGTATTGTGACAATGTTGGTGTATTATTTGTGTGTTGTTTTCAGCTGACGACAGTCGGGTTTACCTGTGGTCGAACTTAAAAGGCTGTAATGACTACATCAATGCTGTGTACCTCCCGGTCAGTAGTTTACGTCGTTACTCATTAGTCAAACTGGTCAAAGTAACCCTAGAAAGCCATTTGTTGATAATATTGCAATAATCCTTCCGAACTGTTTGAATTTCGATATTTATCATTGTCAAATTATACATTTGATGGCGTTTCATATCGATTATGAATGCCATGGATGGATTATGATACCATAACGGTGCGCCTAAGATGTCACAGATGTTTTCTGATTGTCTCAGTGGTAGAGTAATTGTAAATACCAGCTACTATGTCTTTCTGGATCTGCTGTTGTCATGGCGGCACGGGATCAACAGATTTGTTTGGTTTGATTTTCGTTATTTTAAGATAACAAATCCGAAACAAAACTGAGCTAAAGAAGAATAAGATTTTCTTTAATTTCACGATGATAAAAAGTCAAAAATAGGAAATTTCAATACTATATAGTTACTCGGCCACAAAATCTACAGGTAATGTCGCAAAGATCAAAGGTCATGTGACATCGAACCGTACAGACGCCATTTTAACATCAAAGCATACGGTCTGGAACTAGAGGAACACAGACTTTGTGTCCAGAAACAAATCGACGTTTTCACGGAGAGAATCATACCAGTACAATTAGTTGGGAATTATCGTCCACACAGTCTCAACACATTATCTATAACACTTGATAATTGTCCACACAGTCTCAACACATTATCTATAACACATGATGATTGTCTACAGTCTCAACACATTTTCTATAACACACCATAATTGTCCACACACTCTCAACACATTATCTATAACACTTGATAATTGTCCACACACTCTCAACACTTTATCTATAACACACGATAATTGTCCACACACTCTCAACACATTATCTATAACACTTTGTCCACACAGTCTCAACACATTATCTAAAATACATGATGATTGTCCACACAGTCTCAACACATTATCTATAACACTTTGTCCACACAGTCTCAACACATTATCTAAAATACATGATGATTGTCCACACACTCTCAACACATTATCTATAACACCTTGTCCACACAGTCTCAACACATTATCTAAAATACATGATGATTGTCCACACAGTCTCAACACATTATCTATAACACTTGATAATTGTCCACACACTCTCAACACATTATCTATAACACTTTGTCCACACAGTCTCAACACATTATCTAAAATACATGATGATTGTCCACACAGTCTCAACACATTATCTATAACACTTGATAATTGTCCACACACTCTCAACACATTATCTATAACACTTTGTCCACACAGTCTCAACACATTATCTATAACACTTGATAATTGTCCACACACTCTCAACACATTATCTATAACACTTTGTCCACACAGTCTCAACACATTATCTATAACACTTGATAATTGTCCACACACTCTCAACACATTATCTATAACACTTTGTCCACACAGTCTCAACACATTATCTAAAATACATGATAATTGTCCACACACTCTCAACACATTATCTATAACACATTATGTATAACACTTTGTCCACACAGTCTCAACACATTATCTAAAATACATGATGATTGTCCACACAGTCTCAACACATTATCTATAACACTTTGTCCACACAGTCTCAACACATTATCTATAACACTTGATAATTGTCCACACAGTCTCAACACATTATCTATAACACTTGATAATTGTCCACACACTCTCAACACATTATCTATAACACTTGATAATTGTCCACACACTCTCAACACATTATCTATAACACTTGATAATTGTCCACACACTGTCAACACATTATCTATAACAGATGATAATTGTCCACACAGTCTCAACACATTATCTATAACACTTGATAATTGTCCACACACTCTCAACACATTATCTATAACACTTGATAATTGTCCACACACTCTCAACACATTATCTAAAATACATGATGATTGTCCACACAGTCTCAACACATTATCTATAACACTTGATAATTGTCCACACACTCTCAACACATTATCTATAACACTTGATAATTGTCCACACACTCTCAACACATTATCTAAAATACATGATGATTGTCCACACACTCTCAACACATTATCTATAACACTTGATAATTGTCAACACACTGTCAACACATTATCTATAACACTTGATAATTGTCCACACACTGTCAACACATTATCTATAACACTTGATAATTGTCCACACACTCTCAACACATTATCTATAACACTTTGTCCACACACTCTCAACACATTATCTATAACACTTGATAATTGTCCACACACTCTCAACACATTATCTATAACACTTGATAATTGTCCACACACTCTCAACACATTATCTATAACACTTGATAATTGTCCACACACTCTCAACACATTATCTATAACACTTGATAATTGTCCACACACTCTCAACACATTATCTATAACACTTTGTCCACACAGTCTCAACACATTATCTAAAATACATGATGATTGTCCACACACTCTCAACACATTATCTATAACACTTGATAATTGTCCACACACTCTCAACACATTATCTATAACACTTTGTCCACACAGTCTCAACACATTATCTATAACACTTTGTCCACACAGTCTCAACACATTATCTATAACACTTTGTCCACACAGTCTCAACACATTATCTAAAATACATGATGATTGTCCACACAGTCTCAACACATTATCTATAACACTTGATAATTGTTCACACACTCTCAACACATTATCTATAACACTTTGTCCACACACTCTCAACACATTATCTATAACACTTGATAATTGTCCACACACTCTCAACACATTTTCTATAACACACGATAATTGTCCACACACTCTCAACACATTATCTATAACACATGATAATTGTCCACACACTCTCAACACATTATCTATAACACACGATAATTGTCCACACACTCTCAACACATTATCTATAACACTTTGTCCACACACTCTCAACACATTATCTATAACACTTGATAATTGTCCACACACTCTCAACACATTATCTATAACAGATGATAATTGTCCACACACTCTCAACACATTATCTATAACACTTGATAATTGTCCACACAGTCTCAACACATTATCTATAACACTTTGTCCACACAGTCTCAACACATTATCTAAAATACATGATGATTGTCCACACAGTCTCAACACATTATCTATAACACTTGATAATTGTCCACACACTCTCAACACATTATCTAAAATACATGATGATTGTCCACACACTCTCAACACATTATCTATAACAGATGATAATTGTCCACACACTCTCAACACATTATCTATAACACTTGATAATTGTCCACACACTCTCAACACATTATCTATAACACTTGATAATTGTCCACACACTCTCAACACATTATCTATAACACTTGATAATTGTCCACACACTCTCAACACATTATCTATAACACACGATAATTGTCCACACACTCTCAACACATTATCTATAACACTTGATAATTGTCCACACAGTCTCAACACATTATCTATAACACACGATAATTGTCCACACACTGTCAACACATTATCTATAACACACGATAATTTTCCAGACACTCTCAACACATTATTTATAACACTTGATGATTGTTCACACACTCTCAACACATTATCTATAACACTTTGTCCACACAGTCTCAACACATTATCTATAACACACGATAATTGTCCACACACTATCAACACATTATCTATAACACTTTGTCCACACAGTCTCAACACATTATCTATAACACTTGATAATTGTCCACACACTCTCAACACATTATCTATAACACACGATAATTGTCCACACACTCTCAACACATTATCTATAACACACGATAATTGTCCACACACTCTCAACACATTATCTATAACACACGATAATTGTCCACACACTCTCAACACATTATCTATAACACTTGATAATTGTCCACACACTCTCAACACATTATCTATAACACACGATAATTGTCCACACACTCTCAACACATTATCTATAACACACGATAATTGTCCACACACTCTCAACACATTATCTATAACACACGATAATTGTCCACACACTCTCAACACATTATCTATAACACTTGATAATTGTCTACACTCTCAACACATTATCTATAACACACGATAATTGTCCACACACTCTCAACACATTATCTATAACACTTGATAGTTGTCCACACACTCTCAACACATTATCTATAACACACGATAATTGTCCACACACTATCAACACATTATCTATAACACATGATAATTGTCCACACACTCTCAACACATTATCTATAACACTTGATAATTGTCCACACACTATCAACACATTATCTATAACACACGATAATTGTCCACACACTCTCAACACATTATCTATAACACTTGATAATTGTCCACACACTCTCAACACATTATCTATAACACTTGATGATTGTCTACAGTCTCAACACATTATCTATAACACTTGATAATTGTCCACACACTCTCAACACATTATCTATAACACTTGATAATTGTCCACACACTCTCAACACATTATCTATAACACTTGATAATTGTCCACACACTCTCAACACATTATCTATAGCACTTGATAATTGTCCACACACTCTCAACACATTATCTATAACACTTGATAATTGTCCACACACTCTCAACACATTATCTATAACACTTGATAATTGTCCACACACTCTCAACACATTATCTATAACACTTGATTATTGTCCACACACTCTCAACACATTATTTATAACACTTTGTCCACACACTCTCAACACATTATCTATAACACTTGATAATTGTCCACACACTCTCAACACATTATCTATAACACTTGATAATTGTCCACACACTCTCAACACATTATCTATAACACTTGATAATTGTCCACACACTCTCAACACATTATCTATAACACTTGATAATTGTCCACACAGTCTCAACACATTATCTAAAATACATGATGATTGTCCACACAGTCTCAACACATTATCTATAACACATGATGATTGTCCACACACTCTCAACACATTATCTATAACACTTGATAATTGTCCACACACTCTCAACACATTATCTATAACACTTGATAATTGTGCACACAGTCTCAACACATTATCTATAACACTTGATTATTGTCCACACACTCTCAACACATTATCTATAACACTTGATCCACACAGTCTCAACACATTATCTATAACACACACAGTCTCAACACATTATCTATAACACATGATGATTGTCCACACACTCTCAACACATTATCTATAACACATGATTATTGTCCACACACTCTCAACACATGATCTATAACACTTGATAATTGTCCACACACTCTCAACACATTATCTATAACACTTTGTCCACACAGTCTCAACACATTATCTAAAATACATGATGATTGTCCACACAGTCTCAACACATTATCTATAACACTTTGTCCACACAGTCTCAACACATTATCTATAACACTTTGTCCACACAGTCTCAACACATTATCTATAACACTTGATAATTGTCCACACACTCTCAACACATTATCTATAACACACGATAATTGTCCACACACTCTCAACACATTATCTATAACACTTGATAATTGTCCACACACTCTCAACACATTATCTATAACAGATGATAATTGTCCACACAGTCTCAACACATTATCTATAACACTTGATAATTGTCCACACACTCTCAACACATTATCTATAACACTTGATAATTGTCCACACACTCTCAACACATTATCTATAACACACGATAATTGTCCACACACTCTCAACACATTATCTATAACACTTGATAATTGTCCACACACTCTCAACACATTATCTATAACACTTGATAATTGTCCACACACTCTCAACACATTATCTATAACACACGATAATTGTCCACACACTCTCAACACATTATCTATAACACTTGATAATTGTCCACACACTCTCAACACATTATCTATAACACTTTGTCCACACAGTCTCAACACATTATCTATAGCACTTGATAATTGTCCACACACTCTCAACACATTATCTATAACACTTTGTCCACACAGTCTCAACACATTATCTATAACACTTGATAATTGTCCACACACTCTCAACACATTATCTATAAGACATGATAATTGTCCACACACTCCCAACACATTATCTATAACACTTGATAATTGTCCACACACTCTCAACACATTATCTATAACACTTGATAATTGTCCACACACTCTCAACACATTATCTATAACAGATGATAATTGTCCACACACTCTCAACACATTATCTATAACACTTGATAATTGTCCACACACTCTCAACACATTATCTATAACACATGATGATTGTCCACACACTCTCAACACATTATCTATAACACTTGATAATTGTCCACACACTCTCAACACATTATCTATAACACTTGATAATTGTCCACACACTCTCAACACATTATCTATAACACTTGATAATTGTCCACACACTCTCAACACATTATCTATAACACTTTGTCCACACAGTCTCAACACATTATCTAAAATACATGATGATTGTCCACACAGTCTCAACACATTATCTATAACACTTGATAATTGTCCACACACTCTCAACACATTATCTATAACACTTTGTCCACACAGTCTCAACACATTATCTAAAATACATGATAATTGTCCACACACTCTCAACACATTATCTATAACACTTGATAATTGTCCACACACTCTCAACACATTATCTATAACACTTGATAATTGTCCACACACTCTCAACACATTATCTATAACACTTGATAATTGTCCACACACTCTCAACACATTATCTATAACACTTGATAATTGTCCACACACTCTCAACACATTATCTATAACACTTGATGATTGTCTACAGTCTCAACACATTATCTATAACACTTGATTATTGTCCACACACTCTCAACACATTATCTATAACACTTGATAATTGTCCACACACTCTCAACACATTATCTATAACACTTGATAATTGTCCACACAGTCTCAACACATTATCAATAACACTTGATGACTATCTACACACTCTCAACACATTATCTTTAACACTTGATGTATATAGGTCTACAGAGTATACTGTAAATTCCTCCGGTATGATTTCCATCTTCTGACAACGTGGACGTTGATACTGTAATCGCCATATCTCACGCTTATGTATAAATTCAAATGTCGTCTTGCATGAAGAATTATGGACAGAAAAATGTTGTTGTTAGCTAATAAGATTGTATATTTGATACAGTAGAATAGTGCGACTAAGTCAACATTTACTCTTTTTCAGACTTTCAAGGAAAAGTACGCTTACATCGTCACTGAGTTTCCCCAAAACCGGACCGTAGTGGACTTTTGTCGCCTCGTTTACCAGGAGGAGTGTCGCACAATTGTCATGATGAACAACGCCTTCCGCGGGGACCAGGTAAGGTCTGGAAACTCACATATGACACTGACTAATGACAAGGTAAGGGCAGACAACTTTCACACATGACACTGACTAATGATAAGGTAAGGACGGATAACCCGCACACGTGACACTGACAAGTGACAAGATAAGGGCAGGCAACTGTCACACGTGACACTGATTAATGACAAGGTAGGGACAGACAACCCTCACACATGACATTGACAAGTGACAAGGTAAGGACGGATAACTCTCACACGTGACACTAACTAACGACAAGACAAGGGCAGACAACTCTCACACGTGACACTGACTACTGACAAGGTATGGACACACAATTCTCACACGTGACATTGACAAATGACAAAGTAAGGGCAGGCAACTTTCACATGTGATTCTGACAACTGACAAGGTAACGAATTAAAGCGGTATTTTTATAATGCCAGATTCTGGATCTCCAAACTTTGATGTTCGGTCCAGTGGCTGGAAAAAGAGAAAATGTTACGAAAGAAATATCATAATCACAAGCTGAAATGTACACTTGCTGTTCCAGAAACATCAACACTACTGGGGAGGCCTAAACCAACAGATGGGTTGTGGGCCGTTCCAGATCAAGGTCACTGATGAGGAGGTCAAGGACGGATACATAGTTCTAACGATGGAATTCCGGTATGATGTTGAGGTAAGTTACTGAGATCGTGCGTGTTTGTACTGTTTAACATCTACTTTCACTAGGTACAAGTATATACCAGTGAAATATGACTCAGTCGTCTGACCAGTGTATTTTCAGTTCTATAAGAGGAGACTCAATATTAAGTCACAGTGGATGAAGATCGACAGAATAAAATACTTCTTGTACTTAACTGTAATTAGGAAACAGTTGATCCTAAAACACATCTGTATAAATTTCCGATTTTACTCTAGTCATTGAAATAAAAAGTTGTCGTTTATGTTGCCTACGTTGTGATGACTTAATGGTTAGAGCTATGAAATAAAGGTATTTTGGAACTTTACAGAATATATAATGCGATTTTGTAAACCAAAATGAAATAAAAACGATCTTTTATGTAATTTGTTTTGAAATCTTCCTAATGATTGATGACAATTTATATGTAATTTTCACAAGTGCATGAAATTGTATAGCCAAATACTTTTAGTTTAAATTATATACCCCCTATTGAAAAGCTCACTCACTGAAAGATTCAAGTTTGTATTACTGGGAGATAACTCTAGTTATGGTATTGACAGGCATTAGCACGGGACATTGGAGAGGTAAGTACGCCACCTGGTGTGAGTTTGTCGCCATGTTGATAGTAGGTGTAGGCAGAGCACTTTTGTTTTTTCATTATTTGCATTGGTATATTTCCATATTACAGAGTCCATTATAAGGTCTGTACCAAGGCTAAATCCAAATCTCCAAAATAACTCGCTTACTAGGATACATCACTCCATTAAAGTTAACTATGAAACGATAAAAGTTTAATTGTCTGAAAAAGGAGGTCGTTACGGAAGCGTATTCCGGCCACGTTGTGTTTTTTGTCTTATCTCGAAATTTCGAGATAGCAACTCAAAATTTTGAGATAGCAACTCGAACTTTCGAGATAGCAACTCGAAATCTCGAGTTAGCAACGCGAAATTTTGGGTTAGCAACTCAAAATTTTGAGATAGCAACTGGAAATCTCGGGTTAGCGACGCGAAATTTTGAGATAGCAACTCGAAATTTAGAGTAAGTAATAACAACTCGAAATTTCGACTTACTAACTCAAATTTTCAAGTTGCTATGTCGAAATTTCGGGTTAATATCTCAAAATTTCGGATTACTAACTCGAAATTTCGAGTTACTATAACAAATAAAATACAACGTGGCCGGAATAGGCTTTCATAGGGTTGTCGAACAGTTCCTGTTGATTCTGTGAGAGCATACATGTAAATGGAATGAGGTCTTAGCTACACGCTGAAATAATACCAAGCTAAATTTATCTTGTACATCACACTAAAACACAAGTTTTGTCTACACGATATTTATATCATTCCACTTTGAAATACCTTTCTGTTGAATTATTTTAACCGCGGTATTTAAAATCATAAAGAATATCACAGAAAAAGAGTGCAACAAATCGAGTTTTTACCATCATGTCGAACATAGGATCGACTTGTCAATAGTCTTAATCTGCTGCATTCAAAACTGTCATTTTAAACGGACAGTAAGTCATTGGCAAACCTCAGCACAATAGGTAATGTAATATTGACAAAATGGGAATGGTCAGCTTTCTGATTACTGTTTATCGCTATGCTTGTTGTGCTTTGTTTTCACCCAGATTGTTACAACTTGTGACGTACCAATAAGATTGTACAAAAGACTCACAAATGATGGACACCGAAGCTAGACACAGCAGAGGAAAATAGCAAACTAAACTGCATTACATAGCTGTTTTGTCCTTAAAGAACTGCTTACGGCCTAGATGGTATAACCGTCTTCAGGTTTCTCAAGAAATTAAGTCTCAGTTTACTCTTGTCTTAAGTGATCTTGTTATCAAAGATGTAAACTCTCATCAGGAGACGTATATTTCGGTATCATGCTGATCATATCCTCTGAGTGAAATATGACATGTGACTCAATACAAGAACGTGTGAGGCGACCAATGTGATGTCGTCTCCCATCATGTTTACATCGTAACCTCGTGAGGCGACCAATGTGATGTCGTCTCCCATCATGTTTACATCGTAACCTCGTGAGGCGACCAATGTGATGTCGTCTCCCATCATGTTTACATCGTAACCTCGTGAGGCGACCAATGTGATGTCGTCTCCCATCATGTTTACATCGTAACCTCGTGAGGCGACCAATGTGATGTCGTCTCCCATCATGTTTACATCGTAACCTCGTGAGGAGACCAATGTGATGTCATCTCCCATCATGTTTACATCGTAACCTCGTGAGGCGACCAATGTGATGTCGTCTCCCATCATGTTTACATCGTAACCTCGTGAGGAGACCAATGTGATGTCATCTCCCATCATGTTTACATCGTAACCTCCTGCTCAACTCGACAGATTGTCTTTGTAGAAATAACATTACATGACCTTACATGGACATGGTATTTGAAAGGTTTGGATCTGTACGAAGCGGTCTGACAATCAAGTCCCTTTCACATAAAATTAAGATTTTAGATCCGAGCGAAGTAGATCCACGTTTTAACCAGTTTTAAGCAGTTTGACCATGATTCTGCATTGAGTTTCGTGTCCCTCTACATTGTCACGTGTTTGGACGGCGTATCACAAACCCAGTTCCCTCAGGAAAGGGAACGGGAACTATCACAGATATCGGACATATTTAGAACAAAGCAGATATCTTACATTGACACATGAAGAATTGAAAAAGAAGCCAAACTGACTAGAAATATACAACTTTTTGTTATAGACGTTTAAATGGTTATAATAACAATATAATTGTATAGGAAAGACAAAGAAAATCGAGAACGATATGCGGATTAAGTGACACAAAGAATTAATATTAAAAAAGTGTTGGGTTTTTTTTTTTTTTTTTTGCTTCTTAAATGCTTCCTGTCGTTTTCTCATCGTTTTTTTTTTTTGTGTAAGTCGTTAGTTAGATCGATTTGTGCCTTGTGCGTTTTCATGCATTATTTTTGTAGCTATTCATTGTCCGTGGAATATCAAATTACACGTATATGTCCGTCAGTGAGAAGATGTCGAGCTTGGTGATTGGTTAATATAAAATTTTTTGACATTTGTTTGACTAAAATCTGATTGTTTGTTATCTGATTGGTGGACATTTTTGATTGGTGATAATTGATTGGTTGACCTCTGTTTCATTAATATCTAATTGGTTGACATTTAATATATGTTTGGGTGACCTCTGTTTAGGTAGCATCTGATTGGTTGAAATCTGGTTGGTGGTCTTATAATTGATTGATATCTGTTTGTTTTTTCATCGGATTGGTACACGTTTAATTGTTGGATATGTTGTTGATAGTCATAACTAGCATCCTGGCTGGTTTACTTCCAATTATATTTTAGTGAATCTTAGGAAGGCGAAGTGTCGCATTATCATTATAACAAAACTATAGCCCTTCATCTACTTCCATGCATTTTTAGTTTAATCCTTATGTACCGACACCTACCAAAGAATATCCTTATGTGCCGACACTCACCAAACTATATCCTTATGTGCCGACACCTACCAAAGAATATCCTTATGTGCCGACACCTACCAAAGAATATCCTTATGTGCCGACACCTACCAAAGAATATCCTTATGTGCCGACACTCACCAAACTATATCCTTATGTACCTACAGTCACCAAACTATATCCTTATGTACCTACAGACACCAAACTGTTACTTTATGTGCCGACACACACCAAACTATATCCTTATGTACCTACAGACACCAAACTGTTACTTTATGTGCCGACACACACGAAACTATATCCTTATGTACCTACAATCACCAAACTATATCCTTATGTACCTACAGACACCAAACTGTTACTTTATGTGCCGACACACACGAAACTATATCCTTATGTACCTACAATCACCAAACTGTATCCTTATGTACCTACACACACGAAACTATATCCTTATGTACCTACAATCACCAAACTATATCCTTATGTACCTACAATCACCAAACTGTATCCTTATGTACCTACACACACCAAACTATATCCTTATGTACCTACACTCACCAAACTGTGTTCCGTTCCCTGCGTTGCCATGGTCACATACTGTTCTCTATGCTACCCGTTCCCTGTGCTATGTAAACACATGTAATAAATGCATAATGGTTCTCATGTTGCAGCATTAAAATTGATGCCGATCCTTGTGTTACAGTTGATTATAACTGTTCCTTGTATAACATTTATTGATTAACACTGATCCCTGTTGTTCGTCATAGTAGACCTATCCTGTGTTACAGGAAGACAAGGGAAGTGTTGAGGTTCGGCAGTACCAGTACACTGGATGGGAGGACGGCCGTCTCCTTCCCTCCAATCTTCCCGCCCTCCTCAACATGATTGACGACGTCCGGGAGTGGCAGGCGACTACAGCTGGAGACAAAGCGAAGCCAGTCATCTTACACTGCATGTAAGAAACACCTGAAGGACGTTTAGATGTCCGAAATATTGAGGATATGTAAGCGGTATACTCCAGTTTGTTTTATATCGGCAGTCTAAATTTGAAAATGTCGAGGGTAGTCTCGTCAAGTTTGTTTGTTTATTGCTAACAGTACAAGGACACTTGAAACGTACAGAATGAGACCCATCAGAAGTTTACAACATGTTCACAATATACATTTGATAGATTCCACTTTTGTTACTGGGCTAAAACTGCAAGAAGTATATATATATATGTCTGTCTTCCCAGGAATGGAGCAGAGAGGAGCGGACTGTACTGTACTGTGGCGGCTGCAGTGGAGAGAGTACAGACCGAGGAAAATGTCAGCCTGGTCCACACTGTCAACCAGATGAGGGTCCGGCGTCCACAAGTTATACCAAGCATAGTAAGTATCGAGTATGTCCTCAGATTATTTCGAGTAAAGCCAGTATCGAGTCTGTGCTCAAATTATTTCGAGTAAAGTATCGAGTCTGTGCTAAGATTGTTTCGAGTATATAAGGTATCGGGTCTGTGCTCAGATTATTTCGAGTAAAGCAAGTATCGAGTCTGTCCTCAGATTATTTCGAGTAAAGCAAGTATCGAGTCTGTCCTCAGATTATTTCGAGTATAGTAAGTATCGAGTCTGTCCTCAGATTATTTCGAGTAAAGCAAGTATCGAGTCTGTCCTCAGATTATTTCGAGTATAGTAAGTATCGTGTCTGTGCTCAGATTATTTCGAGTAAAGCAAGTATCGAGTCTGTCCTCAGATTATTTCGAGTAAAGCAAGTATCGAGTCTGTCCTCAGATTATTTCGAGTATAGTAAGTATCGTGTCTGTGCTCAGATTATTTCGAGTAAAGTAAATATCGAGTCTGTGCTTAATTTATTTCGAGTAAAGTATCGGGTCTGTCCTCAAATTATTTCGAGTATAGCAAGTATCGAGTCTGTGCTCAGATTTTTTCGTGTTTAATGAATATTGCGTCTGCCATCATGGTATACAGAAAATTGTATGTCTGCCGCTTATATGGAGTATATACGCAATATAACGAGTATCCCATCTGTCCTCGTGTTATATCGAATATAGTGAGTATCGCATCTGTCCTCGTGTTATATCGAATATAGTGAGTATTAAATCTGTCCTCGTGTTATATCGAATATAGTGAGTATTAAATCTGTCCTCGTGTTATATCGAATATAGTGAGTATTAAATCTGTCCTCGTGTTATATCGAATATAGTGAATATTAAATCTGTCCTCGTGTTATATCGAATATAGTGAGTATTAAATCTGTCCTCGTGTTATATCGAATATAGTGAATATTAAATCTGTCCTCGTGTTATATCGAATATAGTGAGTATTAAATCTGTCCTCGTGTTATATCGAATATAGTGAGTATTAAATCTGTCCTCGTGTTATATCGAATATAGTGAGTATTAAATCTGTCCTCGTGTTATATCGAATATAGTGAGTATTAAATCTGTCCTCGTGTTATATCGAATATAGTGAGTATTAAATCTGTCCTCGTGTTATATCGAATATAGTGAGTATTAAATCTGTCCTCGTGTTATATCGAATATAGTGAGTATTAAATCTGTCCTCGTGTTATATCGAATATAGTGAGTATCGCATCTGTCCTCGTGTTATATCGAATATAGTGAGTATTAAATCTGTCCTCGTGTTATATCGAATATAGTGAATATTAAATCTGTCCTCGTGTTATATCGAATATAGTGAGTATTAAATCTGTCTTCGTGTTATATCGAATATAGTGAGTATTAAATCTGTCCTCGTGTTATATCGAATATAGCGAATGTCTAGTCTGAAATGAATACCCGAATCTATATAGCTTTATCCATTAATATTCTCTTGATAACACGAAGTATGATATTATTTAAGGGAGTTAACTCTGTTTTCTCTCTCTACAGGACCAGTTCCGGTATTGTCACGAAGCAGTGCTCCACTTCATAGAAAACCATTATAACAACGGTGACTTGATGCTCTAAAGTTACCATACCAACAGAACTGTCAGTATGAAACGGCGGTATTTTTAGCAACAACTTTGTTGCCATAGCAACTGTGACATCGTCACGATAGAATCGGTGATGTAAAATATATCGTAATATCCCCACACCAATCTTTGGAGGCCATGGGAGTTATGTCGTTGATCATATCTAGAATGAACTGTGAGGGAAAGAAAGCAATCCAAATATGTCTACACAACTAACAATATCCATCCCTTACGCCGATGGCAGTTCATGAGCTGGTAATACACATATGACTTTGTTTGAGCCTGTAATACACGTGACTTTGTTCGAGCTGGTAATACACATGACTTTGTTCGAGCTGGTAATACACATGGGTTTGTTCGAGCTGGTTATACACGTGACTTTGTTCAAGCTGGTTATACACGTGACTTTGTTCGAGCTGGTAATACACACGTGACTTTGTTTGAGCTGATAATACACGTGACTTTGTTCGAGCTGGTTGTACACGTGACTTTGTTCGAGCTGGTAATACACACGTGACTTTGTTTGAGCTGATAATACACGTGACTTTGTTTGAGCTGGTAATACACGTGACTTTGTTCGAGCTGGTAATACACGTGACTTTGTTCGAGCTGGTAATACACGTGACTTCGTATATTTTCACTGTAGTAACGTGTTACAATGGTAAAATTCTATGTGTTTACCACCAACATTCAATGTATATAAAGATACCAATGTGTGTCGTGGGATATAAGCTGGTGGTTTTAATGTCAAGGAGATCGACAGCATGTTTAGTGTCTTGTCTGCCTCATCCAACAAAGGGAAGCAATCCGGCCATTGTTTATCTAAGGGGAACAACTCATTGTTGCCTCAAACGATTGTTTGGTGTGTATAATATATGAAATTAGATATATATTTCCCTAGTATACTGTATCGTTCCTGACGTGCCATATCTATCGACTTATTTAAGAATATTAGTTCGAAATTTTGTAGATTTTTGAAAATATATCATTGCAGCTCATTGTTCTACAATGTATATTGTCATATAAGAAGAAATCTCCATAACAGTATCTGTACAAAGGATGGACCTGTACGCTTATTTTAGGAATTCTCATTTTTATCAATGATCAGTTTAAAAGTATTGTGATGAAACTGCATGTTTGGTGTGAAAAATATCTGTAATACTTATGAACGTACAACGAAAATATTGTCTATATACAGTGTACAGTACGGTCATGAACTACATGTACATATATTGCCTCGATGTATTGAATTAATTTCACAATCATTGTAAATTTGTGAAAGTCCTGGTCGTGCAAAAGTATTCTACGAATACTATATCAATATTTAACCATATCAGAAATGCTCCTAATTAGAATTTCTCACTCAGAGTGACGTCATTCCGTTGTTTATCATAGCTGACGTTATATCCTTAGCTATGCTCATTGTGGAGAGATCTTGTTGGTCAGTAGACGGTGTTTATTTCTTTTCTGTGATTTTCAGTAAACACCATTCCATTCTATCTGTAAAAAATTTATTCCACATTGTTTAGTTATCCCATTGGACCAGTACGTACATTATATATATATTACTTATTTATTCATTATGTTCAAAGCACAATATCAAAATACTTGTGATAGTCTTGCCATGTTTTTTTGCCCATAGTTCATGTGATATCTTTATTTATAGTAGCATATCCACGATCCAGATAGGCTGGTATGGAAGGATTTTTTTGTAAGAAATTCATTAGCTGTACATACAAATTATATTTTTCATTTTCTTTTCAATAAATGTTATTGACAAAAAAAGTGTAAAGTAGATTCAGTTAGTGTAAAATTTAAGATCTCTCGTGGGTGACTAAAATTAAGTAGAAAGTAGAATCAATTAAAATGAAGAAGCAAATATGAAGGGAGATAACTCGTACAAAAATACAGGCACTTTCACACATTATATTAATTTTATTTTTAATCGACTTATTCAAGTTAACTTTTAGCATTAGAGACTGAATTGGGGGCTGTTGTCCGGATTATTGAGTTTTACAGGAAGATTTAAAGATAATCCCCGCTAGGTAGTATCGAATTAAAAAATATCAAAGCTTCATTAAATGCTTATAGGTTCTGTGTATGTTGCTCTCACTCTCCGTCATTTTAGCAGGGTCCTGTGGTGTCGCCCCTTTAAGTCAAAATTCCATGATAGTCAATAGGTTGAACCGGCCATACTTTAAGAAGGTGTTCCGAAGTGTGATACAGCTTCATGATGAATGAAATATTTCGGAATTATGTAACTGAATCCGTCCAAATGTTCGTTTTTAATTATTATTATTTCATATTATTTTTTTTTTATGGAATTATAATATGTTTTCAAAATATAAGATAAACCCGTCCGATGATTTAGGGATTGAATCGGAGGTCCGAGTCGGTCCAATGATGAAGGGGCCAAAATCAGCGGTCCGTGTCCGTCCAATGATTTAGGGGCCAAAATCAGTGGTCCGTGTCCGTCCGATGATTAAGGGGCCAAAATCAGCGGTCCGTATCCGTCCAATGATTTAGGGGCCAAAATCAGCGGTCCGTGTCCGTCCAATGTAATATAAAGAGGCCAAATCGGAGATAATTTCTGTGGTCCGAAAATACATATTTTGGAAAAAATAACCTTCCAATGTCGAGATTCCAGGTTTTGTTTTGTTGTAAAGAATGCGAAAGGATATAGAGCATATAATTAATTCATTTAAGTCATATAAACATTTTTAAAATATCAACCTTGCCTTTATTTAGACTTTTTTAAAACATGATTATACAATAGTACCTGTACAATATAGATCTATTTAAGTCCCAACACCTACCTTACATTGATCAGAAGGTCCCAGTCCTCTGTAGCACAACCAACGAAGATTTTGTGGTACAATAATGTAACCATCCCAGTGTTATTAACTCTGATGAACTGAGATGGTCCTGTTTATGTACGAGGACGTTGTCAAACATTTTTTAGTGTTGAGTCAGTATTATATCTATATATGTGTGTTAGTTTTGCACACAGGTGGTTTGTAGACACGCACTGTAAAATAGTTCAACAGATGTTTAGTGTGACCTCCACGTTAACAGGTACCTGTTGTTTGCTTTAAATACATATCATGACATTTCATGGAGGGAGGAAAGGTGTTATTACTCGGATCATGTGTTTATGTTATATAATAGTGCTTATTTTTATTTTGGTTCTTCTGTCCTAACCTCTTTGAAATAACGTGTATTATATCATTCCGTCCAAGGGAGTTCAGTGATTAAAACATTTTTAAAAGTTAATGTGTTTGTTTGTTTATAGGTGGTATTGTGTAAAGAGTACACGGAAATATGTATAGGGTACACGGATACATATATAGGGTACACGGAATTATGTATAGAGTACACGGAATTATGTATACAGTACACGGAATTATGTATAGGGTACACGGAATTATGTATAGGGTACACGGAATTATGTATACAGTACACGGAATTATGTATACAGTACACGGAATTATGTATAGGGTACACGGAATTATGTATAGTGAACAGTTATGTATACAGTACACGGAATTATGTATAGGGTACGCGGAATTATGTATACAGTACACGGAATTATGTATACAGTACACTGAATTATGTATAGGGTACACGGAATTATGTATACAGTACACTGAATTATGTATAGGGTACACGGAATTATGTATAGGGTACACAGAATTGTGTATAGGGTACACAGAATTATGTATACAGTACACGGAATTATGTATAGGGTACACGGAATTATGTATACAGTACACGGAATTATGTATACAGTACATGGAATTATGTATAGGGTACACAGAATTATGTATACAGTACACGGAATTATGTATAGGGTACACGGAATTATGTATACAGTACACGGAATTATGTATAGGGTACACGGAATTATGTATAGTGAACACGGAAATTATGTATACAGTACACGGAATTATGTATACAGTACACGGAATTATGTATAGGGTACACGGAATTATGTATAGTGAACACGGAAATTATGTATACAGTACACGGAATTATGTATAGGGTACACAGAATTATGTATACAGTACACGGAATTATGTATAGGGTACACGGAATTATGTATAGGGTACACGGAATTATGTATAGGGTACACAGAATTGTGTATACAATACACGGAATTGTGTATACAATACACGGAATTATGTATACAGTACACGGAATTATGTATAGGGTACACGGAATTATGTATAGGGTACACGGAATTATGTATAGGGTACACGGAATTATGTATATGGTACACGGAATTATGTATAGGGTACACGGAATAATGTATACTGTACACGGAACTATGTATAGAGTACATGGAATTATGTATAGGGTACACGGAATTATGTATACAGTACACAGAATTATGTATAGGGTACACAGAATTATGTATACAGTACACGGAATTATGTATAGGGTACACGGAATTATGTATACAGTACACGGAATTATGTATACAGTACACGGAATTATGTATAGGGTACACGGAATTATGTATACAGTACACGGAATTATGTATAGGGTACACGGAATTATGTATACAGTACACGGAGTTATGTATACAGTACACGGAATTATGTATACAGTACACGGAATTATGTATACAGTACACGGAATTATGTATAGGGTACACAGAATTATGTATAGGGTACACGGAATTATGTATAGGGTACACAGAATTATGTATACAGTACACGGAATTATGTATAGGGTACACGGAATTATGTATAGGGTACACGGAATTATGTATAGGGTACACGGAATTATGTATAGGGTACACGGAATTATGTATACAGTACACGGAATTATGTATACAGTACACGGAATTATGTATACAGTACACGGAATTATGTATACAGTACACGGAATTATGTATAGGGTACACAGAATTATGTATAGGGTACACGGAATTATGTATAGGGTACACAGAATTATGTATACAGTACACGGAATTATGTAAAGGGTACACGGAATTATGTATAGGGTACACAGAATTGTGTATACAATACACGGA